ATTTTTAAATATTTATTAAAAAAAACACTTTTAAATCAAGTTAACCTAAACTATTTAACCCCCCCCCCCTCAAAAAAAGTCGATTTTCGTCAAAAAATCGAAAATTGAGATAACCCCATGGGGTGATAGCCCATGTTCTCCTCTTTCAGAATCACTATAGTTTTTTTTTCCAAAGACCATTTTTTGACCGAAATTTTTAGTGATCTTTCAGAAATCCTCTATGTCAAAAACGGCAGTATAATTAGGTCTTTGATCTCTAATTGCCGATTAATTAATTAAGAATTAATTGAGCGCTCAGCGTGTGCAGAATTAAAAGTCACGTAGGATAAGCTAGGTCAGTTTCCTCAAAAAACGCGTGAAAATTGCAGAAAATTTAAAAAACAGCAAAAATTTTCGAAAAAATGTTTTTGTTTTTCTCAAAATCATGTTTTTCCATTTTCCATCCTAGTTATTTTGCCTTCAACTATGTTTTTTCAAAATTGTTTTTTACCATTCGATAGAGCATGAAAAGACGCAGGGCATGACGTTCTCCGATTTTTGAAAAAAGTTTTTTTTATGTCCAAAAAAGGTGACTTACAAAATTTGCATGCAATTTTTTGGCCTTTTTTGAAGGATTTTTACTTGTGCAAGATTTTTTGGCTTATAAATAGACTTTTAAAAAAATCCAAGAACGTCATGCCCTGCATCTTTGCATGCTCTATCGAATGGTAAAAAAAAATGTCGAAAAAACATAGTTGAAGGCAAAATAACTACGAAGGAAAATGGGTCATTTTTAAACAGTGTTCACTTTATAACTTCCTTAAACTTGTATATTTCGGGCTGAAATTTTTATCGTAGACTACTCGCTCTAGTCCCAACATATCCTGAAAATTTCAGCCGATTTGAACTTTCTTTGGCGAAAATCGACCTTTGAGGGGGGGGGCCTTAATATTCGTTTTTCAGGTATGGCAATTGCCACCAATTGCCCTCTGGTGGTCCGCCGATGATATCTATGCATATGTGGATAGATGACAGTTTTGGTTTGGAAAATTCCAATGATATTATCACTAAGATTTGTCATGCACTCGATTTTAAGGCAAGAATCAGTTGGCAATTCAATCATCAGGTTCACTCGTGTCATAAACTTGCAAAAAACTTCTATTCTAATATATCGCATGATCTTATCAATAGAATTCAACGACAAAAACCCTTATCCGGATGTATATGCGATATTCATCTCAAGCAATTTTTTTTCTGTCGTTGAGAACTTACAGATGAATTCATATTATATAACATTCTATAAATATCAATATGTTGTTCAAAGATTGTTTGATAGCGTGAAGTTAAAAATCGATTATTTCATAAACTATGCCAGATGTCGTTTGTCAACAATCAATTAAATATAATTATAAATTTGTACGATTGGATTGTGAAAAATCATTTCTATGGAGAACAAGAAACATATAATGTTCATTCATTCTAGTATATGATTTGTTAGTTTGTATGACTAATAACAAGATATATTTGTTCGTGACTTATTTGCATATATTGATCGATCTCGTGGCGATAAAATACCCAAAGTTATCTATCCATCACTAGTTGGTTATTATGAACTGTTAAAAGCAATTAGTTATGGTGATTTTGATACAGTAAAACAAACAGGACATTTACTAACGGGTTAAAGTAAATGACAAAGAAAAATTAGATGTAAGTGATTAGCTTTTTTTGCTTACTTCACTTATTTGAACGTTTGGGTACTACTATAGTGATGTAGCTCGTATTGCACTTGAAATGAAGGATTCACATCATCAACATATACGCCGACTGTATCAACTTATTAAAACGAATGAATATTATTTTGTTTTGTCTTAAAGACGATTGCTTGATCTGTATTGATTTAAATTCAAATTTGTCTTGTAGTATTTTTGCAATAGTGAATTATTCGATTATATTGTAAATCGAAATAGTCTATTCGAAAAACAAGCTCGATATTTCTTTCATTAAATTGTTTCACTTGGTGCTTTATATGTATTAAAAAAGACTGTTATCGTGACATAAAACCAGTATTTATATATGATATCAATCAAAAACAAAAGTATACCATATAGTACATTTTTATTCTAGGAAAATTTATTACATGATCGTATAGAAGATCTAACATTTATTGATTTTGATCGGTGCGCTCAACTAAAAGTAATGTTGACATGAAAATGAATTCATTTTTGTATAATATGCATTTGTAGAGTGGCATTAATTCGGCATATTTAGGTTAACGAATAAGCACTTATTTTTATATTTATATTTCTTGCATCTTTAGGAAATCATTGATTTGAACGAATTATCGAGATGATTGTAGTAAGCAGAAATTTTATTCTATTTCTACATTTTGAATAGAGGATGATAAATATACAAATAGACTTTTGAATTTCTTTCAACCTGCCCAGCGCAGAGAACTTAATACTTCTATCAAAATATTATTTAATATGAATAAATTGATTATTTTATTTCTACACTTAAGCAACTGTTTCGAGTCTTGATGTTGTTCTTATACGCAGTATCATGTGATGCTCTTTCATTTGATGATGAAAATATATCAATAATGTATTCTAAATGTCTCGTTGTGTTAAAATCAAAAGACTAAAAAATAACTTGACGTAAAAATGATTTCTGTAGAATGTTATCTATCATATACCATTGTATTGATCACCAGAAAGTGTTGCTTTATTTCATCGTATGATGCAAGTTGATTCAACTAAATGAATTCGTATTGACAATCTTCTTCGTGATGCATGGCTTATGGATTAGGCGTACCCGAACCCTGTGAAATGGGAATCTATCAAGTATATTCGATATTTGTAATTCTATCATTGAATTTTCATAGAATAGATTATATCTATCATGTATATGTATACATAGAATGGCTTTGTATTGTGACGGAATTGTTAATGATATTGCACAAGAACTTTCTCGTGTATATCAAATGCTTCTTTTATTGAATAAATAAAACTACCAGAAATAATGAGTTCACCTGCTTCTGCTAGATAGGATATGATTATATGACAGCGACATATTTTATTTTATAAAAATCTTGAATCACGAAATAAATCAATACGACTTCTGTCTAATTGTATTCAATGAATTACTTCTCAAAATGTCAATGAAGAACAGGAAAAATCAAAGGTTTTACCAACGAATTTATTTCGTGAGCACATTGATCAGCTACAAATGGAAAAATATCAATAATACGAACACAGAAGGAATATCATAATCATCATATAAAGAAAGTATTGAAAATTCAGAAGTACAACGCCAGGAACAGAGAGCAGCAATAATCAAGTAAAAAATAACAAAAATAAATACAATTATTGCTGTTTTTCTTCTTTAGACCATTTAATTATCAACGACTTCCATGTTTGCTGACTCACCGGATGATTCAAGACGAATCAGTGAAAAGAAAGGTGATAAGAATCAAAATAAAAATCTTCTAGTGATTGCTTTTTCTTCATAGATCATCGTATTATGACCTCAAACTATTTTGATGACGGTCTTGATGTGAATAATCTTGATGATTTAAAGATTGTATCAACATTAAGGTATGGTTTGTTAGTTATTGTCATTGAATACTACCATAGCGAAAATGTATCGAAGGACTGAACAGCGAGAGACAACAATTTCGAACCACTATCGGTTCACATTAGAAATGTGCGGAATGAAGTTTTTTGACTTTCCGACAAACTCTCGAATTCCAACGACTTCTTATAAAAGTCCATGAAGTAAAAAGAAATTGAAGTTGAATGCTTGTAACGTATATCAGTGCGTACAAAACCCAGTATTTAAACTGAAGCTTTTGACGAAAAATGCCGTTGAGTCGAAGATAAGTTTCTACAGGGATATATAATTTAATTATCTAATAGATTTTCAATTCTTCTAATGATATAATTATTGTTTTTGTTGTGTACAGCATTTTCAGCGAGTTTCGTTGATAGTGATAATTTAGATGTATATTGAACACCACAACATCAAGATAAAAACGTTCGTCAATTATTTGATTGCATTGAGCGTAGTTTCAATACTGTTAAACAAATCCCAACACCAAAACGAATTATTACAAATAAAGCAGCGAAAACGTGGGTATGCAATTTATTAATTTCATTATCATAATGATCGATTCTTAATATTTTAGGAAATAGCTAATGGAACATTATTAAATATTCATGATTCAGATCAACTCTGTGAATTGCTTGAACCATTGTTTAAATTTAATTCGGAACTCACATATAAAGAAAAATGATATGTTAAAATAGTATAGAAATTAAATAAACTATATTTTAAATATTTAAAAATCGCTTCATTGACGATGTTTGTTTTGAAGGTGATTGGGGCAAGGGGGAAAAAGCGGCTCCTGGCTCCTTGGATTCTCGCGGCTCCTCGTGGATTCTGGCGGATTCTATGGATCCTAGTAGATTCTGGCGGATTCTGTGGATCCTAGTGGATTCTGGCGGATTCTGTGGATCCTACTGGATTCTACTGGATTCTACTGGATCCTGCTGAATTCCAATGGATTCCTATGGTCTTAGTGGATATTTGAAGATATGTGAAGATCAGTATCTACTCCTTATCGCTGTCGCTTGCTTTACTAGGATCCACAGAATCCGCCAGAATCTACTAGGATCCATAGAATCCGCCAGAATCCATGAGGAGCCGCGAGAATCCAAGGAGCCAGGAGCCGCTTTTTCCCCCTTGGTCTTTTGTCTCTATAAACCAGGAATAATTGCCGGGTCTAAGTATGTTGGTTGTGCGCCAATGCCTTTAATTTTTCAAGTGGATTTGTCCAGTATAATTGAAACATTATATAATTTTGTAATTGTTCCATTTGGGCAAAAAGCATCTGTTCCTGTAGCAGGTTTTTGTTTGTTGATTGGCAATTGAACGATACCTGGACCACCGTTCAGCATACTTGTGCATGGATTTGCTGGCCATGTATTTTTTACAATGTTATCAGCAATGATTGGATTTGAAACTGTGATTGTTCTACTGCACGATGCGAAAACTGCACCGAAAGCACCAGCAGAATTATTGGCTACAATTAGACCAGTAAATAAGCCTGTTACCGGATTTGAACAGATAACAGCTGCACCAATGCTTGTATATGCTATGTTACTTAGTAGATTGATATTGTTTAACGTAACTGATTTATCGTTGACGAAAAAGATTCCACCGGCTTCAGTTGCAGAATTATCTGCAACGGTACTATTACGAATCGTCACAATATCACCTTGAATGTAAAATCCACCAGTTAGACCATTTCCATTTATTGAAATGAAGTTGCTATCAACGAGAACATTGCCGAAAATGTTTTGTTCGCTTCCATTATATGATACACGAAAGAATGCTCCACCGAATTGATTTGCTTGATTACCGGTAAATCTTGTTCCACAAATTGTATTATTTCGTCTTAAACCATCAAAACTTATTGCACCATCATTGCCTCCATTTCCCGGATTCCCACCGTTACCAGTAGCTGTATTTGTCTCAAAGTGACTATTGGATATACTTAATCCACTGCCAAGAATACCAAGCGCTCCTCCATTCGATCATTTGTTGTCACGAAAAACACTTCCAACAACGATAGTAGCACCTCCTCCAATAGTCTACACAGCACCACCTGCCATATCCTGGCCGACTGCAGGTCCTGTATTGTTTTCGAAGCTACAACTGTTTATAACTGTTGTTCCTCCGTTTTTCTGGAAAATAGCACACCCACCATTGGCATCTTGACAACGACCATTGATAAATCGGAGACGTTGAACAGTTAATGTTGGTGTTGAAGATCGAAATTCAATATACGAGTTTTCCCTAATCCATTCAATGTTGCAGATGTGCCATTGCCAACAATACTTGTCGGTTTCGAAGTAAAGATTGATCTCGAGAATGATACGCTTATTATTTTTGGGCAACAATGAGAAACGAAAATGAGAGTTTAACGTAGACATAGGAAAATAGTCCAAACTACTAAAGTACAAGTGTAAATGATCTACACTTCTATTTAAAAGGCAAATCTGATCAAGATCCCAGATGACTATGGTGGCATAAACAAGAGTTTCAATCTCAGAATTAATCTGTACTGGTCACGGTGAATACGCGTAGATCTATCCTACTAGTGCTGAATGTTTTTCAAATGCCAACCATTATTTTTTGAATAACTTTCGACAGCTTCCATCTATCAGAATTGAACATTCATCGTTAAACAAAGCAATACATCGGATATCTATCTATGTAATATTCATTGAGTCTCATAAGGTTTTTCTAGAATATTTTCAAGTGAAATATTTTTCTATTGTGCATTTCTATAACTTAAAAAAAAAGGATACGTTCATATCGCATTAAAATACAGCCAAGACACAAATCCAAGAAAGCAGCGTGTAAACAGCGTAATATTTCTGGATTACAGAAAACTTCTATGGCAGTATGGGTTAATGGTGAGAGTTGAGAGTTGAGCGATTATATAGAGATGCAAAACTTTTCAGACTTGATCTTGCTATGATTTAAACATGAGTACCTACGCAAACGAACAGAAATATGGAACAGATACAAATGTTTACTGGGCAAATATTCTTGAAAAAATTTCTGGAGCTTAACAAATATTACGCAGATAAATGCTCTCGTATTTATCAATCGAATGGCGAAAATCTGAAAATAGTTTTATTATTTTCTATGTGCTGGATATGGTGCATCAGTCTATTGAAACTGTAATGATCACTCCATCCATTTATCTTGTTTTATCATATGAGATCTACAAAAATAAGCTTTTGCAGCATAAGACACAAATCAATAGTAAAACAAGCTGAACTTCAATATTTGAAATAATGACATTGTTTTACTGCTGTCCAGTAAAATATTCGTTCGAGAGAAGCTTAATCGGCAAATCTATGTATACATATAAGCTGTATCGTGAAAAAGTCTATCAAAGATGTATCATTTTTCGAAATTATTCCCACAGAAGTAATACCGTGTATCTTAAAGATCACTCTTGATTACCTAAAGGATCATATCAAATCAAGACGAAATACCTTCCTTCACATATGCTATTTTTCTTGTATTGAAGAACCGCATCGTGCAAAGCTGGTGATTGTTGAATGCAAAAAGTTTAAACCCAACGAAAATAGTATTCAAAAATGAGGGTAGAATCTGAGTTTCTTACGAAGTATTTACTTATAAAGAAAGGCCTGTCATTTCTTACACATTGAATAATCAAGAGAAGCAAACCAAACGTTTTGCGTTGAAAACATGTTGCCACAGGTACCGAACTTGTACTATTCACTGTTGTACATGAATAATAGAGTTACTAGAATCATGAATAGTTTTAGGAGCACACAACAGCTACTCGCTTATAATTTCTATTGACATCGCGCATAAAAGAATATGATTGTGTAATCATGAACTATGCATGTAAAGGTACTATATTAAAGTATATTTCGTTTGTGTGTCACTCCGTCCAACTTAGTTTTCGTTATCAAACGTAAAAACGATTATCTATAACGATAAAATATCAAAATTTTTCATAATACAATGATATAGTTATTTTTGCTTTGGTAACATCAAATAAGGCTCGATGCTTGTGAACTGTGAATTTTGCCAAATGAAGTGTCCTTCGATCAATGTCGAAACAAAAAAGAGAAAGAGTGGACATGCTCGAATATGAGACTCAGAGTCCACTCTATTTCTAGGCCGGAATCCACATAGAACGGTATAGGCGGATGGCATGGATTCTGATACGAATCAATGCAATCAATAATATTACTTTGGTAACATTGTTGAACTGTTTCAGTTCAAACATTAACCATTTACTATACTCGAGTCATTAAACTATAAAAAATGTATTATTAATTTTAACATAGTCTTGGCGAAGAATTCAATTGGTCCGATAAATAGTAAAAAGCATAAAGAAAAAAATGCATGGTCATAAGAAAAAAGTACAATTTTAATCAATAGATAATATTATTCATTTAAATTTAATATTTTTTTTCAATTTCGTTTTATGATATTGTTTGGGTAACATTTTATCGGTGAAGTCATGGTTGAAAACCTTGCTGGCCATCGGCAGAGTTTATTAATGAGATTTGTTCTATATTAATTTTCTCCAAAATATTTCAGTTGAAGAATCTTACTGTTTGCTCTGAAAATACGATTTGATCACTCTAAATCTTACAAGTAATTCTTGGTCAACTACTAATTATTTATAGGATGTAGATGGAAGTGTTGTGCAACTCAAAAATAAAATACAAATCGTTATATAATCAATATTGTTTTTATGGTAAAAATAATTTCAATTGTTGATTAAACAGTCGAAATACAAACAGGATGCAAAGCAAATTTAATGAATAATCTGATTGAAGACATAATGAGTCATAATTTCATGTTCTTGTGTTTTCTTATTACTACGTACGCTGATGAATCATCCCCACGCAAGCGATTCATCGCTGCTCTCCTGTGTCAATAGTAGTTTTGCCACTGCTTTTAACAGCGGAATGAATAAAAGCATACTCAAAATTGCGACAAGACGCACAGATATTTTTCACCGTTCCTTTTTTCTTCGTCTTTTTGATCAGTGTGAAGCTAGCACGACGGAGCTAGCACGATGAAACAGAGATTCAACTATAAGTTTTCTCAGGAGTATTGCCGGCCCATAAAAACCAGACCATTCGATGCAAAATTTAATGCTGGATCGGATGGTGATACTTTTATTCCCCGGCAATACTTAGAAAAAAATGTTACCTACACCTTTGTTTTCTTCTAAATAGGACAAGAAAAACCGGATCGAGTTTTCTCAAAGTNCATTAAATTCTGCATCGAATGGTTTGGTTTTTTATGGGCCGGCAATACTCCTGAGAAGACTTATAGTTGAATCTCTGTTTCATCGTGCTAGCTCCGTCGTGCTAGCTTCACACTGATGTCTTTTTGGTGGAAGTATTTGTGATGATTTTCACTATTTACATATGTACAAGTTAATCACTTTTTTGACAACATGAAATGTTCTGGTAATTCAAAGATCGACTGAGCTTTCATTTTTGATATTTTAATTTCTGAGATGATTGATGGTACCTTATACACTTAAACATATAGGTAATGCTCTAATTATAGATTTTGAAAATGCAGGTAGCTTTTTCATTCGAGCTATTTTTCATTAGCTTAGTAAATCAAAGAGACCTATGTGAGTTCCACACTTAAGTCACAAGGGGGTTGCGCAAACAAGCTTTTTTCAATATGTTTTTCAATAACAAAACGCTGGGACACGATTCTTCCTTGGCAACGCGATTAATAATTTGACTCTAGTTAGTAGTAGGTTTAGTTGTGTATCCGTATATTCTCTTGATATATATATGCAGATGTTTATAGGCATATTGACATCACGCACACTCATCCTCTTTTCGTTTATTCGTGTTGATGAGTCAAATTCATCCAATAATATAGACGCAGAGCAATTCATCAAAGTTTGATAGAATTATTTACCTAATTGAGAACAGAAAGGAAAAAGAATCACTTAGTGACGAAGTTTTGGTTGAAACTTCACTCAGAGTCACCCTACTGACGAATTTCGCCGAGAGTACATCACATACCGAGTTTTGGCGAATAGTATTCTTTGACATTTCATATATTATACTCATTTTTTGCATGCTGATTTCTAATACTATATTCATGTAGTCAAAGTACGTTGCTGGCACGAAAAACCTCCGCGTAACTGTCACATTTCACTGTGTTAACACTAGTTTCCAGATCTTCTCAGCACATACACTTGCTGCTAGAAGACCATCCCTTAATGTTTTTTCTTCGCTTAGATACTGTTAATCATTATTGAGTTGAATTCAGTTTATCAGCAAACATTTTGATCTCACAAGTATTCGCTTGTTTTGTTATCTTCTAATGTAGTCTACTTCTCGAAAGACACATTTGAATGAAAATTATGAGTCAATCTCTCCTGAAATTTAACGTCAATGATCATATCAAAGAAAAATTTAGTGTATCTCATACGAGTATTCGTTGTGAGTCAACTTGCAAGTGAAGGAGAGGTCAGAAACCAGGGAGCATTTTCTTTAAAAGCGTGCATTGAAGATTTATGGTAGGCTATAATCGAAAATAGTTATAATTATATGTGACACCGATTCTCTAAGTTAAAGCTTTTTTCTAGATCAATATATTGAAGAAAATGTCGCAATCTTCGGTTTCGAAAGCACTAGTATCATCGATTAGTTCACTCGCCGCTAGTTTATTTAATATTAGTGCTGACCCGTCGTTGCCTTCCATCATCGATCAATGGTGGTGTCCAATATGTTCCATTGAAACAGAAGATGGCCACCTTTGTGAAATGTGTCAACAGGTAATTTTACAATCTGCAGAAGATCTTCCTAATGATGATCAATCAAAATTAAACGTGTCTTGTTATGAGTATACACCAAACTATGAAATAAAAAATGTAGAGGGTGGGGCATCTGACCAGCGAAAACATGGATTGGTAAGTTTTTAAATTATCGAGAATTTGAGCATTTATCGTGGTTTTTTTCATTAAGAAAAACGACGAAAAACCAGGATTAAAAACACTTATGTCATTGACTGTTCGTGATCGTCGACATAAGCATGAATCTGGTGCTGAAATCATATTTCAAAGAATAATTAAACAATGCAGACAGGTATATGATAGTATCAATAAAATTATTTTGTATCCATCGAAAAGACTAGTAGATCGATGTAAAAAGTCAAACATTTTAATGAAATCTTTAGTTTATTTCGTTTTATTGCAAGAAACGAGAAAATTTAAGTGTGAAATGTAATGCATCCTATTTAAATATTGAAATCATTCAACCCCTCAATTTTCTAATATTCTTGTATTTTGTGGAACTCGCGTATATTTTTGAAGAAAATACTGAATGCAACTTTAAGGGGCAGAATTTTGCGGCTCCCCCCTTACAGACATTAAAAGCTAATTATTAATTAGAAGAAAAAACGAAAAAGTAGGAACAATTCGTAAGAAAAAAAGGGCGCCAATCAAAATACAATAATCTTTTGAAGATGTAAAAATAAATGAGAGAGATTTTGCTGTGATGATCAATTATTTTGAAAAATCAGTAGTTTGAGAAATTTTTCATCTTACACATTTTTATTGGTTTATCGAGGCTTCAAGGATATACGTGAGTTTCACATTTTAGTCCCACAGGGGCTACGCTGAATAGCTTTTTTATGTGTTTAGAAAAAACAACCGTTTGTAGACAAGCACTTCCCTCCATCAACTCGATCTCTCGGAGCAGGCTCATTCGAACACTGTACTCAATGGTTACGAATATCAGACGTTGCTCCATTATCCAGTGATGATCTTAAATTATCATGGACAATATTTTCATCACCGAAACCGAGTGATATTCAACAAGGTGCTTTAGGCAATTGTTGGTTAATAGCAGCTTTAGCTTTGATCTCTGAACAGTCTAATCTACTTGAACACATTCTTCTGACGAAAACAGTCAATAATGAAGGTGTTTATCTTGTACGTATCTGCCACAATGGTTTGTGGAAAACAATTATTATAGACGACTGCTTTCCATGCACCAGACACAAATCTCTGGTCTTCACTCAAGCTAAACGTCGTCAATTGTATGCGCCATTAATCGAAAAAGCATGTGCAAAATTATTCGGTTCTTATGGGGCTCTAAAAGGGGGAAATATGCGTGAAGGTCTTCAATTACTAACTGGAGCACCATGTGATTATATTGACATTAATCAATCAAATGCTACATTTGATAGTAATGCTGTCTGGTTCCAACTGTTATCTGCATGTGAAGCAAAGTAAGTTGAATAGAATCTATCATGGAACGAAAAAAGAGTATTCATGATTTAGATTATTGATTGGAACATCATCAGGGGGAAATGGCGTGAGCTCAGCTGAATATGCTCGTGTTCATATTCATAAAGATCATGCTTTTTCTGTTCTTGCTGCTCATGGATTTGACAATGCATCAGCACGATTTGTTCTAGTCCGTGATCCTCATTCTCATTCAAACTATCGAGAAGCAGCTGTAACGGAGAGTTTTCTTAAACGATTACGCGTAATTAATCATGCCAGTCATTCTACAGGAGCATTTTGGATATCATGGGATCGATTTCTTCGCTATTTTTCATCAATCGCTATTTCAACTTATAATAGGGATGATTTTGATATACGTGAACAATATAAATTTACTCGATCATCTACTGAATATGTGATGACTTATTATTTTCATTTATCACGGTAAGCGTAGTTTTAAGTTCATTTTTATTTTTCAATCATTCTATCTAATCTCTTTATTAGACAATCGTCGATTACTATAAGCGTGATACATCATCGTCATGATCGAAAAACACGTAGTTCTCATGCTCAGTCATTCGTTTTATGCGATGCTGATGAATTAGTATCGAAGGGTATTGTTGGTAAACGTAAGAGTGTATTGATAAGTAAGCAGGGAGAACACATATACTGGACAGGATCATTACGAGCTGGCAATTATGTACTTATACCATTCTCAACTAGTTTCTGGAAAAATAGTAAGCCAAATAGAGATTTTACCGTTGTCATACAATCAAGTGTTCAACTTGAGTTAAATATGGAAAAGAAAAAAGCAACATTTCTCGCTGATTGTCTAATTTCAGCAGCTTTGAAAGATGCTAAAATGAAACAGGTTTGACTATTTATATTTCTTCTTTAATTGTTTTTTAAATAAGTATATTTTCTTCTTCTTTTCAAGACTAAAGACGCTATCGTTTATACAACATCAGGTAAATTAGGATTAAAGATGCTTGTCGTCGAGAATCAATCGGATCAATATAATCTGATTTTTGATGTTGATGTACAGCTCGCAAAAAATGTTCATCATTCACGGCACAGTAGCCTTCCTTATAATACACATGATTGTATTCCACCCCGACATCGTCAAATAATATTTATTACGGAATGGACCGATAAACATGGCGAGTCTGCTTGTTTGAATTATTCATATTCGTCTAGTCATGATAAACGAACGAGTGATTCAAGACCGCCCATTGACATTTTTCAACACGATTTTCATTCACCGCGAAGATCCTAGCTATATATATATATATATATATATATTAAGATAATCAAGTGTCTAAATTTGATTATAAACATTGTACAGGTTATAAAATAAATAAATAAACTATGTTCATTATTGCTCAAAGAATATTACGTTTCCTTAGAGTTACTTGTAGAGTATATGAGATTTCTAATTTTATTTCATGTTATTATGAGAAAAGAAAAAATTAACAGTACAACAGATCAAAATAACATCCAATAATTAATATCAAATCAGTCTATCATCGACTGATGTTCTAATAATCCAAATGGCACTAAAACTTGGTACAGAGTCGATGATATTTCATAAGATAATTCAATACGACGAAATCTAAGCTCGGCATTTTTCGAGCAATGTATTTGGTTAAAAAATAATGCGAGGTTTGGAAGATCAACTTTGATAAAAGTATACTTGTCTTTAGTAGATTTATTTTGAAAACAATGTTACTTCTTTTGTTTATGATTGTTGAAATAGATTAGTATCATGAGAGCAAACATGATATTTTGATATTATTTGGCTCAAGGCTCAAGCTGAGTATTTATATAGCAATATTACATGCAGCAATGTGAATGTTCTATCTCGCATCAGTCTTTTTTCTTCTCTTTGTTCTGTTCTTGCTCATACATTTTATCAATTCTTTTTACCTTCGGTGAAATCATTTTATTTAACTAACATTTAACGTTTCTCGAAGGCAATCATTTAAAGCTCCAATCTAGTGTTTCTTACCGCAATTTTCAATATGTTAAACCGTGTGGACTACGCAAATCTTCCTATGAAATTCATCATATTCCTATTGACTTTTATGCCAATTCTTGGAAATAATCAAATAAAGAGTTCACACGTTCTTGAACAGCAACACATTAACCTGCTGGTGGCTCAAATACGGACAGCACCCATGGATCCAATTCTTTTCTGGAATCAGGTTATGCTACATGCTTGTGGAAATGATTATGATCCTTCAATAGTTTCTGCTCCTGATCAGGATGGACCGGGAGCCACAGCGCGTGCCTTTGGTATCATTCATGGTGCTATGCATGATTCTTTGATTGTATTTAATCCAGTTTATAAATCTATATTCAAACATAGAAATATGCCTGTGATGCAAAATACTTCTGAAAGATCTGCCATCGATGCAGCTATTACTGAAGCTGCATTTTTGACATTGTCTCATTTGTATCCAAAGCAGCAAAAAATAATGACTGCAGTTCGTAATAAATATTTGATGCGTATTCCAAGTGACATCATCAAGCAAAGTGCCATTAATAAAGGTATTTATATAGGCCGATTAATTGCTGATTCTATTTTAAAAGATCGAGTCAATGATGGCAGTCAGATAAATCAGTCATACGTACCTTCACTTCAAGCAGGCTACCACCAGGCTGATCCTACACATCCAAAGCAAGGATTTGTGGGAGCTCATTGGGGAAATGTGAAACCATTCTTATTGAATTTTACTTCACAGTATCGTCCACGGAATATTATCGGTGATACATTTAAATCGCGCTTTGCTTATTTAAATTCACAAATTTATTTGAATGAATTCGATGAAATTAGATCAATGGGATCTAAGACAAGTAAAGTACGCACGGAAGATCAGACACATATTGGCATTGCTTGGGGTTATGATGGTGTACCAAAACTAGGTACTCCACCACGTCTCTACAATCAAATAGTTCGAGTCATAGCGACGCAACAGAACAATACTTTGGAGCAAAACGCACGTTTATTTGCATTAGTGAACATAGCACTAGGCGATGCTGGCTTTGCTGCATGGGAAGCAAAATATTTTTATCGATTTTGGCGTCCCATTGTCGCTATTCGTCAATCTACTGATAAAACCCGTGTTGATTCCAACTGGTTGCCTTTAGGAGCACAGGGTGACGGTGCTGACACAAACTTTACGCCACCATTTCCAGCCTATGTTTCAGGCCATTCGACGTTTGGATCAGCTTGTTTCGAAACACTTCGTCTCTTCTACAAAACGGATACGATTTCATTTCAGTTTCAATCTGATGAATACAACGGACAAACAATCGATTCAAATACAGGAAAACCACGACCTGCACGAATACGAAAGTATTCGTCATTTACACAAGCCGAAATGGAAAATTATATGAGTCGATTGTATTTAGGGGTTCATTGGCGATCCGATGCAGAAAATGGAAAAATCCTTGGCCGTCAGATAGCCCAACATGTGTATAGAACTGCGACGTAAACATCATACTTAAATCTCTGAGTTTTACGTGGTGCTTCCTTGTAATTTATTCGTATTTTTATTTTCTATGCTACATTTTTGTTACGTTCTAGATGTAATAAATATCGGAAAAATCAAGTGAAATATTAAATGAATAGTCTCTCGATGCGCTAATTAAGTCTATCAATTTTAGACAAGTCTGATGCTCTTAAATGAAGATACCAACAATTTCAAGTTCTAATATTTAAGAATATAATAGTGCCTATCATGTTAGATTTCTTTCTAATTTTATTACTCTAAGATAATGACACTGTGGACCCATAAACTTTGATTATTTAACATTAAAATATTTTATCTATTGAAGATCTAACTTAATGCATCTTATTAAGTTATTGGAGAGCGTGTTGTATTTTAAAAAGTCAATCACTCTTAACTGGAGAAGGATTGTTAGATAATGTATTCACTATAGTGTGCAACATAATTTCTAACAACAGTTTTCTTCATCAATTGTGTATGTTGGTCTGAGTGCGCTGTAGAGGATTCCCTTTCTCAATCAACTCAAATATTGATCATCCTACGTTGTGTTTTTGTTTTCGTTAATTTCCACTAAATATTGTACTACTGATAGAAAAAGAAAAGATCATCATCAGTAGATGCAAGGCCAATCCACATTGGCACTAATTAATATGCATTCAGCGCAAAACAGTGTTGTATATTCTTAATAATCAAATGTTTTTGAAAATGTTTTTGCTGTAATCTTCATCCGATGTAAACGACCATGTGTGGAGATCTGTCGACAAAGAGAAACTGTGTAGCTGAAGCTATTCGAATTCTAGTGAAGTCGAAAATATTTTGAATGTAAACGAACGAAAGATTGAGAAAACACTATTTAAATAACACCTAGCGACAGTCAAAGAAAACAATATTGTTTAAAAAGACTAATTCGAACTCTCCGTCGTATAGGAATCATTTCCATTTGTAACTCTTAATACGTATCAATGATCTGCAAAGCGATGCCATTTGAATGAGCACACTGAAAAAAATAGTTTGTCACGTTTTTTTTTGTTCTTTAATTCTGAAGCGCGGGTAAATGTGCAACGTGCTGAGATAGGACATCGAAAAGAACAGAAAAATAATTACTCTAACGTAAGTACACTATTCAATAACAGAAAACGAGGGTATCTAAAGTATTGAAATCGATCGAGCCGCATTTCTGGATTTCAACTCTGTACTCCTTCCTCGTGAGTCATAAGCATTAGGATACGAAATTTCGGTTTCGCAGGTTCAGAAGTAAATCGACACTCGATCTTTTTAAATATAAAAAACAATATATTTTATACAATTATAAAACCAAGATCGATTTCTCGAACCAAACTACCACTTTTTGTAATATAATTCGATTAAAATTTCAATCTATTCAATCAATTACTTCTAATTACTGCAGTTGAATCTGATTTTAATCCCACCCAGGTGAATCAATCCGATACCGAATCCCATCAGATTCTATGGAGTCCTACCGTCCGATGAAATCTCGCTGGATTCTGGTTGAGGAATCAATGTCGAATCCGACAGTCATATTTCCAATGATTGTTGAAACCAATGAAATCCGAAGCATTCCGGTTCCGATTGACGGTTATTGTCGGATTTTATTATTTTCCGATATTAGGATCCGATATCGATTCCGGAACCAGGAATCCGACGATAATTCGATAGTTTCCTTGCGCCTTCCGAAGAGCTCCGTCGGATTCCAATAGGCACCGATCGGAACTCATCGGATCCTAGGCTAGGATTCATTCTCATGGGCACAATCGATTGTTTCTAATTACTAAAACTGCCCAGGTAGATCAATCCAATACAGAATCCAATAGGATCCAATGACCATTTCTGTATTTCCTGTGCATAGTCAATGCTCCCCTATCGCATCTAATAGAAGCCACATCAGCGTTTGGTGCTAAATTTCTATGAAAAATTATCCCTGAATTCCTTTGTGTTTAGTACGAGTTTCAAAGATGCTCTATCCCGTGAAAAGACACACGCTTACATCAACGCGTAAAACAGATTCTTCGAAACTAGCAAAGTTTACAATTGGTTATCGAGGTCCAGTAACCCGAATCTATCATCACTTTTTTTATCCGAGCTTCCATTGGTCAGGAAATGAGTCCATCCAAAACTCAGAGCCTGTAAAGTTAGACATTTTAGTTCAACTCCCTGAGAGTATTATATAAGTAGAAAGCACACATTATTTGAGTAGAACATAAAACAGTATCAGCTCTAGCACCACTATGTATTTAGACCACTACTATGTATAAAACGTTAAGTATCTACAGAGGACGAATTAAAATCGATTAGTAATTGTTAGTTAATGCCAATTAAATCTTTGGATTTTTAACCGATTGGTTTTGTCATATTGCCGTCTAAGTTCAAACACATTTATATCGTAGCTTGAAATTTAGCTTATCTGTAAGATTTTAATATTTTAAGAACTATAATTTTAAACATTAGAAATGTAAAAATCGTAAAAGTTTTGTATTAAACATTTGACTATCAAGAAGAAGCACTCGCTTTCCATGTTTATGCATTCATTTTATTAACAAGTGATAATCGACTACAATTGATTAACAGGTAATAAAGTGTTGCATACGATTTATAGTTAACAGTCCCAGCTAAATTGTTTGATTTTTTCGAGTTGGATCCTCAGAAATTCGATAGAGAACCGTGAAAGATTTACTCTTTTTTCTACAGAAGGCCACTAAATTCTGAAAGAAATTTGTACACTAAATATTTTGAGGATTTAGATAGGAGTTGAACCAAGATAATAAAAAGATTTTGTACAGTCTTTCTTCACTTTTAGATCATTATTCTGTAAGATTTAAACCGTCCTTATGCAAAAACTTCTTCTCATATTTAGTAGAATTGTACTTGGCTTCCTTATAAAGATACTACCTCGTGATAATTCAGAAGTAGCTGATTTTCAAAGGTGAACAGACAACCAAAGAATACACAGTAGTGGTATTTAGGATTTCATTACAAAAATAGATGAGCGTTTCTGTTTGGATTGTGGTATGCTATTATATAGAAATTTAATTCTCGATATCTCAAATTCTGGATTTTAATGAATTTCTATTTGAATTTTACATAAAAATAGCACTCCAATGAGTTCTTCAAACGTCATATCAATCTATTTGTTTTGTAAAATTGAGAACGTGCTACTACAGTCTTTTTTTGTTTTGAATCTAATAATAAAATATTCTTTGTAATTTTCTTTAATGAATAATCGAATAAACACATTGACTGAAAGACTTCTAACGTGAGGAAAAATAAACGGGCTCTTGAGAATTTCGTTGGAACTGTTCGAATGAATAGTCGTGATAGAAATGAGAGAAGAAATTGTAGTAAATTTTATGTTAAAATATAGTTCCAATAAATATTACTCGGTAAAAAAGGGAAAAAGTAATCACATGTAAAACCAGGTCTTAGCCAGAATTTTATATTAAAACTCCTCTATTTATTTTCCTCTCATCATTTTAGTGGAAATATATAATTGTAACTTAAATAATCTGAGAATGCTCGAGATAGATTCAAGCTGTGTAATAATGGATTAAACTTATGACTCTTGTAGAACTCACAGACATAAGCTTAGTCATAGATTAAGAACACGTTTTCAAGGAATGTCAACCGGGCAGATCAGATGGTATCCTTTAGACAAACTGAAACTCATCAACACTGTTACTATGAAGTAGAGAAACTTGCAAAGTTTATCATCAGTGCTTTATAAGGAGCTAGTTAACTTTTGAGTCGAAGGACGAAGCCATCGATAAGGATGCTTTTTGAACTTGTCCCTACTTTTCATAAACCCAGGACGGAGACACGAATTTCTCATCAGTTCTATTATTAAAAATTACTATCAATTCGTCAACATCTACTGTTTCTAATTATCGTTGAAAAACTTTCAAAGTCGACTTGCTTATTCAAATTGAATAGCTAAGCGAAGAAGTAAAATATCAGAAACGGTAGATGTTGGTGAGTTGATGGTAATTCAGAGATGTTATAATATCCTAACACTAGGTATCGTCGACATACCAGTCACGATATCCATTCAAGTGGATATCTAAAATGGATACTAAAATGAATACTCATGTTCCTCATAGCTGAGGAATTTGAGTGCATTTGGTGTAACGAGAATGGGTATCGGAAATGGATATCCTATTGTAAAAATACGTGACTTTATAATTATAAATAAGGAAACGTGATGCTATGTTAAAATTTATTGTATTCATGTAGTCAGCTTTATGCCTATGTTTATCGATATGTACAGATTTGTTTAATGAGCATTGCAGATAGCGTGCAATTCCAAGTAAATGTTCGTTGAAGAACATCATTTTTACCTGATAACAATTTATTACGACTTTCATCAAAATCATTCAAGGAAATCGGGTTGAAACTGTAGCATGCTGTGTAGTTGGTGTTGTTGTGGATCGTCACATGCATGTTATTTGAATTGTGGCTTATATTAATTTGTTTGAAGTAGGACCTGGCAGTGGGAAAATTTCCGGTACCCATTCTCGTTACACCAAATGCACTCAAATTCCTCAGCTGTGAAGATATATAGATATCCATAAAAATGGATACCCAATCTCGTTACACCAAATGCACTCAAATTGCTCAGCTCGGAGGATACGTAGATATCCACCCAACTGGGTATCTTATTTGGGTATTCATCTCGATACCCAAGTTGTGGATATTATGACATCCCTCTTAATCTATAACTAAGCGTACGTCTGTGAGCTCTACAAGAGCTAACGTTCATGAATCACAATAATGCCAATTGATTATTATACTTTTCTAATCGATTTTTATTGATTATAATCAAAATTATCAGTTGGATTATTGTGCAGCAAAATCAAAATTCTGACCGATTATAATTGAAATTATAATCGATTTTAATCGCTGAAATTTTTACTGGGTAAATACTAAGAATGGTTACGGCGTTTTCATTAATTGAAAAACAACAAAAAAGTTATTGACATAATGATGAATTAAAACATGTTACTAACTGCTCACATAGTTTATAAATGTTATTCTTTTCTACAATTCACTTCGTTCAGTTTTTCATTTAGAACAATCAGAATGATTTATAGCTACTCGAATAGTCTGATAAGGACTGTTTCTAAATTAAGATAGAGTGCACATTTGTTTTTACTGTAGGTGCCATAGAATTTAGTGAACAATACTATATAAATGATTCGCTTTTGAAATGATTTTTTTGATAAAAATTATACTTAACCAATCGAAATATATTTATTTTAGAGCAGAATCTTAAATGAATATTATCAATTACCTTGTGTATGCTGTTTTTATTCAAATTCGATCTGTTTTTCTATTCGAATGCACTTCGAACATTATAATACACATGCGATATTTATTAAATGCTAATAAGAATTGCAAATCATATATGCAACTACTTAGATTTGTATTTTACTACTTGATCTTATTAAAATTTGTTGTTTATTTCCTATGTTGAACGATCTTTTTAGAAGAAAATAAGACAAAAAGCGAGGAACATCTAGGAGAAGAGCAACGAATCTACAATTGGTATCATTATAACAGCACATGTAGACATTGTTGTATCAAAAATACATTATACTAGAATAATGCCTTGTATATTGTGCTTGGTGTAACATTGAAAATAATTCTACTAACGAAAATTTTGTTCGAATTTTCTCCTCTGGAATTCTAATTGATACAAATCAGCTATATTTTTTATTAATATACATTAAATTCGGTACAGTCTTCTGTTAGACTAATTATAAATGATTCAAATTTTAGATGGAAAATTTTCCGATTGTTTAGCCAAAAAAAAACAAAATTTCAATACCTATCGGATATTTCACATAGACGTCTGTTTATATGAATGAACACGATAAGTGAAGTAAGATAGTTGTTTGATAATTTTGAAGATTGCTGTTAAGTTGCATATCAGTTAATAGATATATTGAATAGGCAAAACAAACATAGCTACAGTTAATCTGGATGACTCGTATGTGTACACATAGTCGCGTCGTATGCGCTTATCTCATGTTCGTATATGAACATATTTTCTTTTCCTATCCTCGATCTTAACAGAGAACGTTAAAAAAAAAGATGCGAAGAAGAAACAGAATAATAGACACTTTCGTGCTATATACTGAACCCGGCAGATACGCGACGGTATTCTCTTATTCTTCGTACGAACTAACCCTGCAAATTACAATACAGTCGCTTCAACGATGTTGTTTAATACGTCGTTTTTCTGTATTTTTCTTTTAATCATCACTCCAATGGCTGCCAAAGGAATTTGTCAATGGTACGGCATTGCGCCATTTTGTTTTATTGGTAACTCATGTCCTGATGGATGTTTACAAGCAGCAGAAAATGATAAAGGTGATGGTCTTTCATGTTGGTTTTCAAAAAAGAAATATTGCTGTTGTATCAAACGAGCATTTGACTCGTTCGTTAATACTCTTGTTTCAAACGAGAAAAAATAAACATTATAATCTGGAAGATATTATGTAATTTTCACATCGTATATGAGATATAAGTTTATTGTGAGAATTTTGCAGAATCCTTCTGAGATTTTCTGTTACCGTGAATATATTTTTGAATAAAAAACCTATAATTTAATTATTAAAGAGAAATATTCTATACACGTTCATATGCACATATTTTGCTTATTTGCAACCTATTCTGAATATATGGTTGAATTTATTTTTCATCGTTTCATCTATTTTTATGAATAGATTCATCGGCAGTTGTTTCACCTGATACTAAATTATTTTCAAATATTTTCTGTTTTTCCTCTCCGTCGCATTATTTAATTAGGCATGGGACTTGTGTTTCGAGTTGTTTAGTTCATGGCGTAGTTAATTAAAAGCAATATACACTGGATCCTTGATTTTTCTTCATATATTTTTCAGTATTAAATAATAGAACAGTTCCTTATAGAAAAAAAAACAGTTTGAATAAGTGCCACTTTTGCAGTACAACCCTGTCGACAGCTAAATCTGCAGAACAAATAGTTAGAAACCTTGTCTCGCTAAGGAGTCGATTTATTGACTATGTAACAAAACTCTTTTTATCGATGTGCATTGACTAAATTTTTCGATAAATATTATTATTTGTTGAGTTGGTTTCATATTCATAATTTTAAATTTTTGTTTTTGATAGATTAAACCAAATATATACTTTATACTTGAAGGGTGCCGATGAATAACTTTATAAAGTATAGAAAAAGAGAACATGATCTCTTTTTGCAAATATATATTTCTTTTCGAGCTGTTTAGACTAGAATAACATATGTAATTTTTAAACAGTAAAAAAGTAACGAAAGTCAGATGAACGAGTATAGGAATGTTCATAGTATAGCTAAAAATGGCCTATCTGTAATAGTTCATAATTTTGCTATTTTAACTTTCGATGATTAATTGATATAGCTAACAAAGATTTATTTTCGTATTCCGAAAATTGATTAGAGAAACGTAGTCGAGCATGAGCATTTCTTTTTGCGAAAACAAATGAGATAAGTTGAAAGGGCCAGTCACTACAATGCAAAAGCAGATAAGTCATTTTCTGTACAGGACTTGAAACTTGACTGGTTATTTTATTGGGAACACTTGTCAATATGCGTGCGTGAAAATTAAAATCAAAACAATTTGTAAGTCTAGATTAATTTTGACTTCACACCTATATAAATGTATGTTGTTTTTTCCGCAAAGTGCCATTTTCGTTTATAATTAAGGAGATACTGGAGAATTGATCACAATTTCCTCTGATAAGAATTCAATTGCATAAATAGTGCTTTCATAATAATGATTCATCCTAGATCAACAAGTTATGCTTAAATTTTCAAGAAGTACTCAACTTACGCACGGGTAAAACTGCAAATACTTGACTATGAAAATATCATAAAGTCTCTTAGTGAGATGTAATGTCATCGGTGCTTACGAATATTTATATAATGTTTTGCAATCAATAAATAAGTAAGAAGTTAAACATTAGAATTTTCCATATAAGAGACAAGTAAAGCGTAGTTGGTTTTATACAAGACTAACTTACTTATAGTGAAAAAACAAATAGCCTTTCCATCTCTTCAATGAATTATAAGTTGAAAAGTGTAGAAATTCTTATTATTTCGGCACAAATATCTCATTAACCAACAAAAAACACATATATGACCTTATATGTATCTCAGAGCAGAAGAAAAGACATCGATTTAAATCTGTGATTAACTACCCACTCTTCGTTAATGATATGAATTCGTTGCTACACAATTCAAAAGATGTGTCGATTTTTTTCTCTGTTCATTATTAGTAAAATCCCGGAATAAATTGAATCGAACGTGATGATGATATGCTTGAATATGTTAATATTCTTCATGTAATCATGTTTTCATCAGATAGTTTTAACTATTTGAAGATCGATTAGCTTGATCTACAATAGCTCAGAGACATGCATATTCTATATATGCCAATAGGATATCATATGTCGTGTAATATAATAACGAGTCTTTGTTGAAGTTTAAAACGTGATAGAATTCCGGTTTCTTTTCAAGAATAATTTATGCATTTTACATTGTACTTGAAGCGTTCAAAATTGACTTCCTTTAATCTACAATCGAAAAAACGATTTATTCAGTTAACTAAATGCTAAAAAATTGAAACAGCTGCCAAAACAAAAATTCGAACACAAGTGATAAACACCTGTATCGTTCTATTCTGCTGGCAATCAGTTACATGGGTACAGAATTAGTTTTATGTAAAAATAGTCTATCAAAGTTAAATTTTAGCAAATGATCCGAAAGTAACAGATACGATCTGACGAAGGTCAACTGTATTACTTAAATCAACGAGCAAGTGGAAACTTCATCGATTTGTAAATTCATAAATTCTTTAGACAATATATACTAAAGTTTCACGAAATGTTCGCTTAAGGTGGAAGAATAATCAGATGGAAATTTTTCTATTTAATTGAAAAATGAATTGGTGGCAACCATTAAATCGAATTATTTAAGAATTCACTTTGATTTTGGTTATTATTTTGCATCTCAATGTTACACTTATTCCTGAAAATAATTTTTCAATTGAAAATATGAACATTTCGCTTTTAAAATATTGTGCTATCGATATGAATATTTAAAAGCACTTGTATTGTCGATATTTAAAAAGGATTTTGAAAAATAAGCATATTTATAATTTCATATACAGATGTCTGAGATATTGTCGACTGCCGCTATGAAAGAAACAGTATTGCCATAGTTAACTTCGTTAGTTCTGCTTATAAAAATAGATTAGACCATATGCGACATTCAGCTGAATATATCTTTCATCAGTGTAAGTCGAATATTAAATTTTACGTTCAGCCGTTTCGTAGAATGGCAATTTCTTCAAATTCGCTTTTCATATGTAAACATGCCTTGGTATTTTAAGATAATTGAAATATGCTATTTGTGTTAACCGATTTCGAATATATCATGAATTGAAAAACCTTCGATCTAAACATTCTGCTCATGAGGTAAGTTAGTTTCATGTAAAAGCAAAAGAAATAACATTAAAGCATAAACAATAAGACCCATCGACTTTTAGCGAAGATAAAAATAATCGTTAATAAAATAGAAGAGAACAAACAGTGTTGATGTCATTAGATTTTGTTTGATACGACGTAGCCTTTTATTTAGAATGCACGCGTATCGTATATATATTGAGGAGCTTGCCCAACGTATCGTGGTTGTGAAGCAGTAGGTTGTTCAGTAGTCGTGTAAAGTTTTGCTCGCTCTTCTCCTTTTCCTGGATAGTGATCTAAACATAATAGTGCTTGAAAATTGCCATTACGAATGTATATCTACCTCTCGCTTTCATTTCGCGAGCCTCTTGACAGAGTGCACATGAACTACAACATAATGTTGCTGGAGCATCCCCACACATTCGATCTTCTTTGAGACGATATATTTTGCGTAGTTTTTGTCGTTTGAAATATTGTAGTAACCAACTTTGATACACTTGCCCCAAGGTACAAAAAACACAACAATTAACACACCAATTACTACCATCGAGTCTCTTAGCATTTGAACTGAATAGACATGGACCACACCAAAATCCATAGCAACAGATCCCCCAATCATCGCAACAGCCAAATAATCTCTCTAAAATCAATTATACAAGCAAATTGTGTACTGATAGGCGATTTCGATCAACACGAAAGATAAACCTACCATTCCATTCTTCGATTTCCGACATTTTCCAAACGATGTTGAATGTTAGTTTTTAGCGGTGAAAACTTTACTAGTTCTTTTTTTGGCAAAACGTGTCCGAGAGACTTGACTAACTTCTCCGCAAGTGATGCGTGTCGTTCTGATTCTGAATGGCTTGACGATTGTATATAGAAGTAGGAGTAAAAATGAAAAAGAAACGAATTCAATTCTTCCCTTTTTATCGTTCTGTTTCTCGCGCGTTCGCTTAGTTGCATTTTTTCCTTCGATGATTACAAGTGCTTTACTATTTCGTGCCACTGATCTACTCTTTTTATTGGTATACTACTGACGTAAATGAGTGCTGTAATAAATCACCAGACTCAAGACCTCCCCGAACACACAGTTATATTAATGCAGTGCGGAACTATTACCTATATCTGAGTTAAAAATGAGCGCATAAAAGAAATACATAATGAAGAGCCATATATTCGTTCGCAACCATCCAGTCTCATTCTATTTGTGATACAGTTAAGTGTTTGCAGTTTAAGTGCCCTCACTGCGATTTTTGCAACTGTTCGGAACGTTCCTTTTCTTTGATATTTACTTAAGCCAACAGTGTGAAAAAAACATTGATGAATATTACGAAATACCACATGTGCGTGTTGAGTATAAAAAGAGCACCTGGAATTAATAAGCTGTATGAAACATTCACTAAATTGCATGAGAGTATGAATACTTTTAAAAGAAAGCCAATCAAGAACAGTACGCTTGGATCGTAATTTGATTCGATTAGGTAATGATTCTTCATAATCTTGAACCCATGAAAATCATTGTTGCTATTTTCAATCTTATAATCACTTTAAACACTTAATATTTTGAAGGATAAATTGTAACACAAGAAGTCCACAGGGCGTCTCTTTAGTGAATAATCGTAACCTTTTATTGCTTAGAAAAATATTCTTACGTAATCCATCACTTCAATTTCTATTAATCTTTTTCAACAAGTAAATAGTGTGATTACAAGTCTTACTCCATCTACTTCTATTCGTCTAACCAACAAAGTAGCCTTGATATCATAATTTTCTTGTTCAAGTAACTATAATTTGCAAATTTTTAAAATCAATTTTGATTGAATATAGACATACGGAAATAGCATTGTTTTCTTTCTACAATGCTTTCGAATATAATATTAAGTACTTGACTCGCTAAAAGTTGTATATATTCGTATATTGATCTTTTTTTTAAATTTTTGACAATTATTGCGACGATGAATTGAAATAAATTTTTTATTGTTGTCATGAACTTCAATCGTTTGCTTTCAGTTAACCCTTGAACGTATCACATCTTGTTGATCTCATGTTTCACCATATGAAATATGTATATACTCGATAACAACAATCTATCTCAACATTTTAACATTATTGTTGGTCTTGCGGTGTAAAAAGAAGTGGTTCGTGTAACATTTTAGATCGACTCAATTTAATGCGATGTATTATTTTACATATATTTTCAAGATAGATCTGATCTATAGAAGAATTTTTGAAAGGCACTAATCATTTGAAACATGAAAATAGCGCAGCTTTGACTTCGAACGATCTGATAAAATTGCGCTCGATATTTATCCAGAAAAAGTGAAATAGAAAATGTTCGTATATCAAAATAAAATTTAATTATATATGGCTTCACCCTTTAAGTCAGTACATTACGATTTTATTTAAACTGAAAATTCAAATCGTAAGTTCTTATTTATTGTGGTTAAAGGTTTGCAAAATAACGCATTTATTGGAACTATTCTGAAAAAGTATTTACACGAAATTGTTACGTTTTCGACAAGTGAATCAAAATTTCATATTATAGGACAGAATAATTTGTGCTCACTGATTCATATCAGAACGGTTACTAGAATCCTCCGGGGCAGTCCCACGGGACATACGGGATTTGGGACACGACAAAGTTTGTCCCGCAGGTCTCTAACTGTTACTCTTGATCTAAGCAGTGACACTGTTGTGCATCTGTGATCGCTATGATTCTGTTAAAAATCATGCGCAAACAAATAGATGAAGAAAAAAACAAAAAAAGAACAAGACACTTTCCCCCTTGCATCGTTTATAGGTGTGACATACCCGAGGTGAACAATTAAATGTGTATGTATATTTGTTTAGCCACCATCAATCTCGTTACTTTCATATGAAAAGCATTAAAAAGCTTTTATAAAAGAATATAATTGTTCCAGAAAAAACACTAATAATCCAATAAAAGATCGTTAAGAAAGATAAATATGCATGATTATTGTCTTCATTGTATTTTGTATTAAAAGAGGCAGTTTTACTTTTACTGAATTAAAAATTATCCAGTAAATTATTATATCGTTAGTATTGAAACAGAGAAACTTTTTAAGAAGCAAACAACTTATTTTACACTATCAGATGTTGCCCAACTTCATTTTGTTTTTCTCCAGATGCGCACAATTTATTTCTATTCACTAAGTATTACATTTCAATTATGCCCTGGTCTCCGATTGCACTTTTTTTTTAAATATAGGAATCCTTAGAGGATCAAGGTTGTCAAAAATATAGGATTTTCGATAAAAAATGAAAAAAAGAGAGGACGTTCTATACACCATTTCTGTTCAATTGTTTTGGCGTTTTATAACTGTTCTGCTCGAAAATCGTTTTAATGAAGCTGTTATAAACAGTTCAACCGTAGCCAAGATCCTGATGTAATTTTTTCTACTGAAATAAGTCGCTAATTCGAGGATCATTATAAAAGCTTTTTACAAATCGATAAATAACAATAAAGTAGATCATAAGCTTTGAAAAAATAAATGCCATTTCTCATAATTAAAGGAGACGTTTCAAGATTACGGATATGGCTTCCCAAAAAATCACAATCTAGTTTTATTGTTCTGATAATCAGCATTCATCGCTTATTATTTTCCACAAGTTTATTTTGTATTTTATCATAACTCAATTTTTTCTGGTAATAAATAAGTGTGAATGAAAATGCATATACACAGGATGGTGTAAAATTTCACGGAGTTTCAGAATGTGTCGTTACTTTTTAAAGAATATGTTCTTTTGGTAACAATATCCTCAAATACAGAGTGAAACTTATTTTTTCCAGGGGTATACGGTATATATACATAGCTTTTATATCTAACTAAAACTTCACTAAAAATCCGAAACTAGTAAGTGATCACTTTGTGAATGTTTTTTTCTTTTGAACTATTTTGTATTTTGCACTTAATATTAAGCAAGTTCTCAGTCAGCCCACTAAATAGGCGAAAGGAAAAATACTATTTAAAACAAATGTCACTATAATACAGGAATTTGTACAAAACACATGATTATACACATTAAAAGGTTTTTTCGTTTAAAGACTAGGGGTGTTACTTTATCTTTATTGATCTTTATATTAAAGAATAAAGATAAATAAGAGCTTTATATTTATAAAATAAAGATAAAGATAATCGTTATTTGTAAGAAGAAAGTTAAAAGAAAGAAAAAAGAAAGATTTTCTACAGTCACTGGTAAATAGATGAATAATTTGTATAATAACAGAAAATATTGATTACAGTTCTTGCTTATCATCACTGACATTGCAGTATGAAATAATACTAACAAATGAGGGTGAGGCATAAATCATTTATGGAAAAAAATCTAGTGTTCAAAATTTGATAGCCTTGAACTTCTTAATTTTCTTCGAGCTATGGGGAGAAGACGAAATTTTGGGTTTTTAAGGAAAAATATTTTCCTTTATTCTTTATTTTATCGTTATTAAATAATGATAAAGCTACTTTTTATTTTTTTTTATTTTATAAAGAATAAAGATTTCATAAATTCTTCATTCTATATTTTATAAATATAAAGATTTCATTTATCTTTATTTTTTAAATATAAAGGTTTTATTTATCTTTAAAAATTAAAGTAAATATAAAGTAACACCCCTATTAAAGACAATAGCAAAATTAAGAGGCTTTCTGAAATTTTCTACTTTTTTCGATAAAATATAGGAAAAATAGGAAGTTTTAGGAAAATATAGGAATTATAGGTCGAATCGCAGCCCAGGTTATGCCGAAATAATTGTTTTAATTGCATTTTCTAATTATTTCTTGATTCAATAGTCCAGAATGCGATCTATTTCACCATTGAAAATTTTCAATATCTCCTACACTCCTTCTCGTTGTATCCATTCGTGTGATGATCATCATGAATATCTTTCAAAGTCGGTTACCAACGCTAGTCCTCGTTCGAATATAACTTATCAATATCTAAGGTTTTGCCTTGGTCTTACATATATCTAGTCTAAATAGGTTGTTCCATCACTTTTTGAATAACAAAGGTGATAGTTACTGATGTAGGATTGCCTGTGCTTACCGTTTATTACCAACTACTGAAGTAATAATCTATATTTCTAAATTTTCCAGATATCATATTTTTAAGATTTAAACCGTCATTTATTTTACACTGTTGAAATGAACAATCTTGAAATTACTAGGATGGCTTTAACTTTAACTTTTATCAAGAAAAATAATGATTTGTAATGATTCTTTTGCAAACGCTCTCTTATTAATTACAAGAAGTCAATAAAGAAGTGGCTTCTTGTAATGCCAGTTTTCAAAAAAAATTTTTCAGTCTAGAATCCGTTTTGCTTGATTTTCGTAAACTATTCTGTTGAAAAAATTGAATGAATCCTAATTGGATTTTCAATTTAGCTATTTTAAACTAACTAAATCTCAATGACTATAATCGATTCGAGAACCGAATCATTTTTTATGAATTTTAGCCGAGAAAAAAAATAATAAAATACTGATGAAAATCGATTGTAATCGGTGGAAATTCTTTGATTCTTAATCCACTTTGGAAAAAAATCGATGAAAATCTTCAATTCAATCAGAAAAAAAGAATATCTGCTAGATTTTCATCAATTATTTGTCGTTCGAATCGATTGTAATCAAGAAAATGCTGATTTTTCGTGTAATTTTTTTCCCATGGGAGAGCACCCCCTTATTATTTCATAGCTATTCTGAAAATGGATATCAGTATGTTATAAGCGACGGTACTCCATTAATTAAACCATCATGAATTGTTCACTACACAGATTTTTCAGTCGATAAGTCATTCTTTAAATTTTATTCCAATTAAGAAATACTCTACTGGCGATCGACGATACCTTTTTTAGATTTTCTAAGATATGTCATCATCAGTAGAACTCATTTGACCATGGAAAACAACGTTTTTCCAGCTGGCATCAGCTCCTTAGTACGTTTTAATGGAATAATTAAAACATCTGTTTAGATTAATCGTATTTCATTTCTCACAAGGAAAAGGTTCATCTTCTTTTTTATCTTCTAACTGCATTTGTCTCAATTAAAAGCTGCGCATGCTTTTGCGTACTACCTATATGTTCGTAAAATAATAATAGTTTCAATGAAAACGTTGATGTGAACTTAGTCACTTCTGCTCTTTTGTGTAGTCTAGTATAAAAAAATGTGATAATAGCAAATGAAATTCTTTTAGTACAGTCGCAGACAAACGAGTATTTGCAATCACCTCAAAAATAAGAATGCCACCAAACAGAAGAGAATGTATTACTATTTGAAACTAGGATATATAAATGTTTTGTTCTACGATCAAATATTGCACTATATGCTGTTAGACTAAAAGATGATTTAAATGATCCATCAAAGACAAAAATTATTGAAGTCGAGCAGATGTTGTTGAAGTTCTTACAAAATTCCAAAAATGTTATAACACTATGAATCCATTGGAAATCTAAAACATAAAATCAACTAAGTGGAAAAAATGTTGGCTAAGGAAAAATTTAGACGAAATTCGCTTCTCTTTCATTAGATGTGTATTAGGTAATTACTTTGTTTTATAGTCGAAAATTCCCCAAAATACAACCAAAAACACAAACAGAATAGATTAGAGTATCAAATCTTAAATTTAAAGCTTTACATGAAATAATAGAGTAATGAGTTTATTAAATTACATTCTTTCGTCCATCTCCAAAGTAAATATATATGTCATATTTAATTGCATGACGAGTTTTAACGTAAGTATCAGTGAGATATGTTGGTGTATGATGAAGATTTTCTCTGTAGCGGCACACCTATAGACACATTTATATTTCAAAAATTCGATCATCCAATATTTCTGCATTCTTCTTCAGTAAGTTTCTCGTTTATTTTCTGTGTCAAAAAATAATATGAGAACTATTTAAGTGGAAGCTCGCACGTATGTAGACCTTCTTTGATAGAGTAATCATGCTGCGTAGGTTTTGATATCGGATTTTGTATTTTTCTCTTTTTATATCATTGTGGTGGAATATTATCAATCCTAGATGAAGATTAAAAAATAATCATAATCAACACTCATTCAAATCTTTCTTTCAGAACAGAAATTCATTCAGTGTTAAATTTAAAAAAAACTATATATATATATATGCATACAAAGAGTACGATAATAATTAGCATTGGTTAATAGCCATTGGACCACATTAGTTGTCATCATTGTTCGGAACCGTCGAAAAATTTGTGAAGTCCTTTTAGAAAGAGACGAAGGTAGTTTCAAGGTAGTACATAATTTAGCGAATAACTTACTATGACGAACAGAGCTCCAAGAACGATTGCTTTCATCTTGACGTCGAGATTCAATGGAACTTAAAGAAGAAAATCGAATCATAGCAATGCTTCAGTTGAACAAGAATGAATTTCTATCGTTGTTGATTTTAGATTAGTAGGTGCATTCGCGCACAATTTTTCTTACAGCATGTGTAATGCCACTGCTGATAGGTAATATACTAACCTTCGTATGAGTAGTTATCGGCGCTTGTGAAAGATTCCTTACAATAGCCAGAGTATTTCTTATGAATTGCTCCAATCTCCGTCGTTCCATCGGTTCCAAGCAACTATGAAAATTTCCAGAGAAATATAGACAAGAATTAACAATAATTTAAAAAACACTGGAATCTTGACGCAATAGCAAGCTGCTATATTTGCTAAATATAGTTTGCTGATGTTCAATCGAAATTTCTTATTAACTAGACAGCAGCATGCAGTAGTGTTTCACAATTATGTTGCATCTTTTTAGAAACGTTTTTGTTTAGCTTTATAATAAGATTTTCGTCAATATTTCTTTCCATCTGTATTCAGATTTGATTTTAAAGATTAGAAGGACATTCGATACAAAGCTTGAATAACATGTTAACGACTGTGAAATACATGATATCATTTCACAAATCAGTCAGCTAATAGTATATCTCGTTTATATGCAAATATTCAAAAGCGATTACATCTAGGTCACTAAGTTGTATTTGATAGTCAGTTTGAATGAGATAAAAAGTTCAATAGTAAACAAAAAATATCACTACTCACAATGAATTTATTTTTACAACAACAAGACCATGCTCCATCACAAATACATCGAGGACCAACTATGGTTAGAGTAGTTCTCTCTTCTATATCTTTGAGTACATAGCGCATTCTCCAGCAACTACCACTACAAACCACAAGAAATAATTCTATCGCACGTATTTTATGCAATAAGATTTATTTACGCTTGTGTGACAGTACCAATAACTTGACCCGGTGGGGCTTCAATAATTACTTCTTGTCGGCAGCCGTTACAGTAGGCACACCAACAACATCCAGAGCAACAAGTAAATTCCCGATGAATTTGCATGATTTCCTATCGTATAATCGATACTATGGTTATAAAACAAAGCAGTAGTGTTGAAACTTACTTGTCGACTGTTGTTAAAAACATGTAATGTGAAACGCCTAGAACTTGTACAACACAAGCGTTGACAAAATTCTGATTCTAAAAATATAACTAGGAAGCGTTCTAATCCTTATATGAATCTCATCAGACGACCGTCGAACCTTCGTGTGCAAAGAGAATTTGTTCTTTGTTGTCAGTAAGAACGTCAAACTTTGCCTTCATAGCAATGCCGAGAATGGCTGAAATATGGTTAAATTTAGCGATGCAAAATAATATTCTCACATTTACCTTCTGCTACTGATGGCCTTTGCTTGATGAGCAACGAACTGACTGTCCGAAGTATATCAATGCCACTTGCAACATTTGTTGGCGCAAACATTCGTCCTTCAGGTTGTGCTTGATTTAGAACATCCATAGAAATTTCATATTTTTCTCGGCTCATTGTAGTATCGGCCTGTGTGTTTTGAAGATTTTTTTCTGTTCTTTCTTTGCAAATAAATTAATATTGGCGAGAAATAGTTGCTGTCTTGCGCTTCTGTTATTGTATATATATAAATGTAAAATTGGATCAGCTTTTTTCACGTCAACTGTGAGTCGACGAGGAAAACAAACGTGTGACATGCTTTCAAAAAGAATTTCTATCGAGCGTCTCTCTCTTTCTCTCTCTCTACTTCTTCTATAAGTATAAATATAAAAAGCGAACATATTTACTTTTCTGCTTTCAAAAAAGAAAAAATAATCCATCAATAGCAATAACATTATTTAAAAAAACAGCTAAGACTCTATCGATTCTAAAGCAAATAACATAAAATAATATGAGAGTGCGCAAATATTTTTCAACAATAATCTCATGAATAACACTAAAGAAAGTTACACTTGAAAAACATGAAAATTGCTCTAATGAGAAAAAATCTAAAATATTAGTCATCCAAACAGTTGCTATTTTATTTTCACTTGTGATTGTCAACTGGCATCATTTGAATGCTAAATGAGTAGTTATTTGTTTGTATGAATTTTAGCCTCAAATAATCTGCACACTCTTTTCTCATACTGATAACTTTAAAACTAGAGGAAGACCATTTGCATGTATTTAAAACAATGCATTGCATTATTCCTGAGCGCTAAACATGCACTAATGATGATCATGTGCAATTAACTTTAATATTTACTGTTTCAAATCATATTGCGATTTCATTGATTATTATTTTAGCACATAGGATACAAGACAATTATTGTTCTATTAGTAAATATGGTGAACCAAATTGAGATCAACGTAGGCTTAATTGCTAAGAAACATTTGAATAAACTTTCAATTTGACTAAGGAAACTGATTCGATGACATTTCATATTATTGCAATCAACTTTTACTAGCGTATACTATCGAAAAATAAATGCTCTCACAAAGTAGAGCGGAGATACATAGAGTATTCAGTCAATTGAATAATATAATTATAATTGAAATTTTTCTAATTTTCTATTCGAGCCTGTGTTGTCTTAGCGTTGCACTAGGATGATTAAAAAGCCAAATTTGTACAACAAAATCGCTGTTGATTTTCGCATAGTGATAGGTGAGCTTAGATGTGGGATTTGGTTTGTATCCATCATCATATTGCTAGAGCCATCGTGCAAAGAGAGTAAACACTTCCAATTCATCCAGTAAAAACTATGATGAAATAAGGTCACATACCATTATTGTTTTGCTCCATACGCTTGTGGACGAATTCACTTAACTCGAACTGAAACGAATGTTGATATGATGCCAGATAAGAGCACGAAATACAAAGAATTTTCCCATTCTCTCTTGATTGTTTTGCTTCATATTATCCTCTAATGAAAAGTTCTTATAGTCTCACAATATTTTGATTAAGATTTTATTTCCTTTTATTTAGTTCAAAATTTATATATCGAGAGTGTACCTACCATAAGTGATAAATTCAATAAGATCGTAAATCAGTGTTCTTTATTTCAAAATATTCATATCAATGCCAAACAGTTTCTTTTATTAGTTATCTATGCCTTTCTATTTAATATATCATCAGGCAAAGTTTGATATATACGATCGAATTGTGCTAGCAATTGTGGGCTGCGATTTATTTGATGTACAACGGCATATATTTCTGAGCGGCTATTGAGTATGTGGCCAAATTTATTTCTTTTGAGCCATTTTGGTAAACCTGCTGTTGCAACAAAACCAGTTTCATGTGGTATAAGATAAATCGTAGTATCGGGTATCAGGCCATTATGAATAATGAAGTTATGTACACCTTGATCATTGCCTGTCATTTTCAGACATGCACGTGATAGATTAAGAAACTGTGCTGTCATTGTCGATAGATATGTAGTTATTGCTGGCCACGACCCAAGAACAGTTCCTGAACAGCTTATTGATTTATTACCAATCTGTTGTAACATTTGTTCTCCATAGCATACCCTAATCCAATTAGCATTAATGTTTGATTTGGAGATTCGGAAATGAATGTCTTCCAAAAACACATACAAGCCATCACCCATTTTATTCATGTGTTTGAAAACATTTGCTTGAAATATTGTATCACTAACATCACAGATAAAAACATTATCAAATGCTTTTCCTTCTTTTTGAAGTGTCTGTAAATAACTCGAAAAAATGGTCCAACGTTGTGAATGAATGCTTTTCATAACAAAAGTTTCATGTTTGTTTGATAGTAAAAATTGTTGATACGGAATTAGAACAACATGAAAGACGTCGGAAAGGAGTCGAAAATGATCAGAACGCATAGAAAAATCATGCACAAGCAGTGTTATTGTACACAGATTGCAACTGGTACGTGTTGATTGAACGAAACGATGCAAAACTGATAAATTAAGACCTACAGCAGCCCCTAATATGAGATTATTCTGAAGTTCATGTTTAGCTTTAGATGTTGACAAAAATGATAATCTGTTAGTCTCATCACTTCTCTGGTGAACGGTGAATGTTGAATTTTTATCCCATCTTTGTAAATCAGCCACTTCAGATGAAATGCCTTTCCAGTTCCAAAATAGATCAACAACTGTTCCTAGCATAAATCCTATAATGAGGATAAATAACTTGCGGCGTACTGGACCGAACATAATAATTCAATTAAAGACTATAGATCTAAAAAAGATAGATTCCAGCTTAGGAAGCAAATGCACCTCCTATAAATTTCAATTACTGTGCAACTTGAAAGTAATCAATAAAAATCTACTTAAAGTGTTTCCATATGAGCATGAAAATGTAAAGATTTTTGATAGCAGCACTTTCTTGTGATATTATCATAATTCATTCTAGTCCTTCATACTACATCATCGCATCTTTTACATGAAAAACATAGGTTTGTACATGCGAGCATGAGTCATACAATAATGAGTATAGATGAATAAAGGTGAGAATACTCAAGGAGAGTCATTTTTTATGAGAGACGGCCACAACAGAAACAGCGGCGAAGAATACGATAAGGAAAGATGAATATGCAAGGTTACATATCGCGCGTGTACAGTCAATTCCCATGTAAATATTTTTTGCCTCGAAACGCGTCTGAAACGCGTTCCATTTGCGTGCGAAACGTACAGAAGCGAACGCGTCTAAATGCGTCTCCAGTGAAACGAACGAAGCGTTTTGACGCGGCTGAAGGTAAAATCTCATTCAGACGCAGTTTTTTGCAAAATCAAGGGTAAACGTGTTTTGAAATAAAAACGCGTCTGAACGCTTCGAATGTTTCACAGGGGACGCGTTTCATACAATTTATTGAAAATTATTGAAAAAATTATTTCAGTTCATCTCAGGTTTGATCTGAGTCACCATCGATATTCTCTATCCATGATCTTTACCCTACTGTAAGTCAACGAACTGTTAGCATATCGACATGCCGATGAATCTGAAATGATAGAAATGAGATTAGAACATGTGAACCAATGATTAAGAGACAAGTATACGTACCGCGCAGCCATATATGACTACAATCGTTGTCGAATGGCATGCAAAGCCTATGAGGGTTATGAATTCATATAAAACTTACAAATGTATAAATGATAGTAATGTAGAAAAAAATATAATTTTTACGCAATTCTTAATTGCAAATATACATATTTGCTAGAAAAAAAAATTTTCCCAAAAGTAACTTTTATTTAATATCTTTTTTAATTTCGAAAACTTCATGGGACAACCTTTTCCATTTAAGGCAGGATGTATAATAATGTTTTTTTTACACGAAATCACCAGCGTTACTATCATAGTTTGACGTTTAATATCAGCTGACTTTATTTTATTAAATATATCCTCGTTGTTTTCTCTTAATATGATTATCAATGTAACTGAAATGAGAGCTTTCAATAATGACTGATATCAATTGAAAAAAAGATCTAAATTTATGCATGAAACTACTTAATAATGATCATTTGAAGTCGTCAAAATAATACATAAAAGATAAAGAGCTTTGATAGCAAAGTTCAGCTAAGAAAAATCTAATATTTATTTTCCAAAAATCTATTCGTCATATTAACAATCTTAAATAAGTTTCATTAATATGATGCGATCTTTCATCTTGGAAATGACCAAAATTGACTATGTAAGATAATAATAATGTAATGTATAAAAGTTACAAATACCAGATAATATACAAATAGAATAGAACAGCAACTTGATAGATTTTCGTGTCTCATATTACTGTCGAACGTGACCAAGTCTAGGGCTGGATACTCTTGCAAAGCTCTCTCGTGAACATACAAGCAGTGTAAATATATCAATATATAAAAGTACTTTTATTTAAATGAATGGAAAGCAAATGTATAGATTTAATAATCTTAACGATACCTATTTCTGGGTTTATGTACGCTATGAATATTTTCTATCTGAATATTTATCATATATTCTTTTCTTAAATTTAGATAGAGGTAAAATGAAACAAGCATCTATCGCTTACAGAGACTCTAAAAAAACAAAATTTCTTCGCTAATTTAGCTTGATCTATTCACTTATATTGAACATCTTAAAGAATCTGATGTCATTAGTTGCACGTCAACGCGATTTTTAACAAAAGCGCGTCCGAATGCGTTTCATATTTGTTCGAAAACGCGCTCAAACGCATCTTATATTTTTTCGAAACACGCTCAAACGCGTCTTATATTACACTGCGTTTGAACGCATTCAGTCGAATTTGACTAACTGCGTATAAACGCGATTTCAATATGAAACGCAATGAGACGCGGTTAATATTGATTTCAAATTACGTTTAAATGCGTTGTGTTAAAAAACGGCGTTCAGATGCGTTTCATACTGAAAACTCATTGGAACGCATTATAAAACCGTTTTCCGCGTTTCAACGCATCGATTCTGCGTTTCGTGTTTACATGGGTTGGATTATTGTCTTTTCGTATAGAATATGGTCATAAAAATATGAATTCATTTGTTCTCTTGTCATGCTTTTCTTACAATTTCTCTAGAAGTCATATTATTACAGAAGTAGCAAGATTTTCATCAGAAAACTAATATACTCTGTTTAACATTTCGTAGTGCTGGTATGTTGAATATGGTAGATTTGCATTAATTAAACACTGCTCAACATTTGAATTTATGAAAAAAATAAATGCGGAAACATCGGATTTGCATCCGATTGTTATGTGTACTGCAAAAACTGAGTCGATTTATATATTTTGTGGATAATTCTGAGAAAAATATTTTGTTTGAAAAAATCCCTGTATCCCCTCTCAGGGATGGTCTGGTCAACAATGACATTTTTTTCGATAACTCAGCCATTTCTTGACGGATCCCTCTCATCTTTGAACTCGCTGAGATATTGATGATATCATTCTGTGTACAAAATTTCATGACAATTGGATCAGCCTTTCAAAAGTTATCGTTTTAACGGCCGGACATACTAACCGATTCTAGAGTGTACTCATTTGTGTTTTTTGAGTACACAAAAAATAAGATCACATGAATAATAAAGAGAATCGAAGTAGTTCCGATGGATTTTTTTCGCATTTTTTTCTTTCTTTTCAGCCTTGAAAAGCTGAACAAAAGCAAAATTTTTATTTTTGAAGTAGTGAGACTCGGTAACCAACGTTATTGCATTGCAATTATGCTTGCTTACATAGAAAACTAAACGAAAGATGAAAAAGAAGAAGAAAAAAAACACAAAAAGCTGTTGAGTTTTTTCTTATTCTTGCGTTCTTCACAACCATATTTCCAATTGACACCAAGTGGAATTTTGCTATTGACTGTATAATAAGAGAACATGTCGGACATCGAATACATAAATTAAACAAGGTGATTTCTCTACAAACAACAATTTACTCTTCATTGTATTGCATTATCAACCCAGCACCAGAAACATTTGTTTAAAATTAGCAGAAAAAATAAGACGACGAATGACTGAAAGTTACTTGGTCGTATGGGTTGACAGACACATTGATCCAGAAAATGCTGATTGCCAAAACATCCTGACGAAATTGAGAAGTATTTTTGGCAAAGTGGAGTATTGCAGGACAGTTGAAGAATGTATTGGAATTCTCAAAGAACAGGATGTGGCACCAACCGTTGTCATTTCTTCCGGCTCGCTTGGACAACACCTAGCAGCGAATATCCATGAATTGAACCAATTAAAAGCTATCTATATCTTTTGTGGTAACAAACGACGACACTTGGCGTGGACTAGAAATTGGAACAAAATTAAAGGTATATACACATCAATCACGCCTATCTGTGATGCACTAGAAATTACTCTTAAAGAATTTAATTCGGATACTATACCCATCAGTTTCATTCCTGCAAATGCAGATGGCTCTGGTAAAAATCTCACTCAACTAGAACCAAGTTTCATGTATACTCAAATATTCAAGGAAATTCTGCTTGGTATGCAACAAGAACAGCAAACCATCAAAGATTTTGCTGAGTTTTGTACAAAAGAGTACCAGGGCGATAACAACGAACTTGAAATTATCAAAGAATTTGCAAGTAATTATGAACCATCAAATGCTATATGGTGGTATACGCGGGAGTGTTTCACCTACAAAATGTTGAATAAAGCATTAAGAACTCTAAATGGTGACATCATCGTTCGCATGGGATTTTTCCTTCGCGATGTCCACCGACAAATTCAAGAACTATACGAGAAGCAAGTTAGTCAGTACGAGGGTAAACCTTTTAAAGTTTATCGAGGTCAAGGGTTATTTGAAGATGACTTCAAGAAATTAGAGAAAAACAAAGGCGGACTTATATCTTTTAATAATTTCCTATCTACTAGCAGCGATGAGCATGAATCCTTTATATTTGCCGGTCGTGCTTCAGAGAAGGAAGGTATGGTTGGAGTCCTTTTCGAAATTACGATTGACCCCAGCATATCGTCGATTCCGTTTGCCTCTGTCCAGGAGATGAGTGCTTTGAAGACAGAAGAAGAAATACTTTTCTCTATGCATACAGTTTTTCGAACCGGTGAGATTCAAACATTTCCCGACAATGACTATCTTTATCAAGTCGAACTTAAACTTACGTCAGATGATGACGAACAACTTCGTCAACTAACTGGTAGCATTCGAAAAGAAGCTGCAGGTACGACTGGATGGGCACGATTGGGTAATTTGCTACTCGCGATCGGTCAATTAGAGAAAGCCGAAGAATTGTATAATACACTACTAGAACAGGCAGTAACCGATGTTGATAAGGTAGTTTTTTATCATCAACTTGGAGTGATGAAATACCACCAAAGACGATACGAGGATGCAGTTTCATTTTACGAAAAATCAAATAAACTCATGGTACAAATACGCCCGGCAAATGATCCGGCAGTAGCTACTTCCTACAACAACATCGGATTAGTATATGAGAACATGGGTGACTATACAAAAGCACTTGAATATTATGACAAAGCAGTTAAAATCTGCAAGGAAACCCTTCCTGAAAATGATCCTTTATTCGCTAGCGAGTACAACAACATTGCTGTAGTGTATAAAAATATGGGTGACTACTCGACAGCACTTGACTATTACGACAAAGCACTTAAAATCTCCAAGGCAAGTCTCCCTGAAAATCATCCTTCATTGTGCACTTCCTACAACAACATTGGAGATGCGTACAGCGAAATGAGTGATTACAACAAAGCCCTTGAATATTATCACAAAGCCCTTGAAATAGCGAACAAATCATTGCCTGACAATCATCCTGATTTAGCTACTTGCTACAACAATATCGGTGTAGTGTATAAAGACATAGCAGAAAACTCGAAAGCACTTGAGTATTTCGCCAAAGCACTTAAAATCTGCAAGGTAATTCTCCCTGAAAATCATCCTTTATTGGCTAGCTTGTATAACAACATCGGAGTAGTGTATAAAAACATGGGTGATTACTCACGATGTCTTGACAATTATAGAGAAGCATTAAAAATACGAGAAAGCGCTCTGCTTCCTAGTGATCCCTTAATGGCTATTTCTTACAGCAATATGGGCTCCATTTACGACAGCATGGGTGATTACTCGACAGCACTTGAATATTTCGAAAAAGCACTGAAAATACGAGAAGCTGTTCTACTTCCGAATCATCCAGATTTGGCTACGATTCATTTGAATTTGGCAGCATGTTACGAACGAATAGGTAATTATTTGGCAGCTCTTAAGGCTCTGCAAAATGCTTTTCAAATTCAAGAAAAGGCATTTCAAGTAGGTAATCTTGCTTTTGCTTTCACATTCAATCGTTTTGGAAGCGTTTATCGCGCTTCGAAAGATTACACAATGGCACTGGAGTACTTTGAAAAAAGTCTCTCGACTTTTCAAAAAACATTACCTGAGAAACATCCTTATGTAGCTTTAGCATACACCAATATAGGTGATGTTAACCGATTAATGTGTAATTATGAAAAGGCACTCTCATTTCACCAGAAAGCTTTGGATATTCAAGAAAATGTTCAATGTGATCTCTCATATTGTGCAACAACATATTTAAATTTAGGTGAAACCTATCGTGAAATGAAAGACTATTCAACGGCTTTAAAATATTTGCAGAAAGGATTACACATGCGTGAACAGCAACTACCAAAATATCACCCAGATTTAGCTGCTGCTTATCATAGGTTAGCGAAATTATATTTGGCAACTCAAGAATATAATAGCGCAATGGATAATGTTCAACAAGCAGTTTTTATAGCTCAGGAGAAATTAGGTTCAAATCATCCTCATCTAGTAGAGTATCGAGAAACATTTGAAGAGATTCGAAAAAAACTGTGAAATTCTTTCTTTTTTTAGTTTGATTACTCAATAAATTCATTTTCATTAGCTACTCGCTACTTTCTCTCGGTTCCAAATTTATGAGTATGTGTAGGACAAGGGTGTGGGTGTGTGTCGGTAAAGAGGTTAGTCACCCCCACTCTCTCACGCCACCCCACCCCACCCCACCCCACCCCACCACTACACCGACCTACACCAACAACCGAAGCCGTATTTTGCTGCTGTTACTTATTTTTTTCCTATTCTTCATCCATCATGCTAGTTGAGCTACCAAATATCAGATTATGTGTATTTTGTTTTTGTCAACCACCAGTGCTGTTTATTAACAATCGCCTCCACTGATTTTTGCTGAACCTGACCCTTGAAGTATTTCTTTCCTTGCATTATGTAATATTTACGAATTTTTCATAATCGCTACTATATGTAGTATAAAAAATCAATTTATAAGTATCTCTTAATGCCGAATCTCGATTTCGAATGAATCCTAGAAAAACTGGGTTTTGCAGAATTTATTTTATGCTTTTAGTATTTTTCATATTTCTCGCGATCACTGCTATATGGAGTCGTGGCAAGCAAAGGGTAGTTAGTTGCTGGCTGCGTTTATCGATTGTGGACTTGAAAGTTATTTTCAGATGATTTGTTGAAAGTATGATTTTCCAGGGTTGCTGTTTGATGCTGAGAAGTATTTTATGCCACTCTGATGTTGAAACATGGTTTCTTTGCTAGATGTGACATAGTCGATGTCTGTAATGTACTTCTCATTTACTGGCTTGTTGTACTGATCAGTATTTCCTGTTTAGTAGAATATGACCGTAATTGGTCGTTTCCGCTTTGTCACACAGCCGTATTACGGTAGCATCTTCCGTGGAAATAATTGTTGTGAGATGCTGTATACGACACATGTGTGGTTGTAGGCTTTGTGTGTACCATCGTATCTGATCGTCGTAATGTAAGATTTAGACAATTGATGAGAAATTTGTGGGAGAAAAAAAACGGAAACTTAAATCGAATGTTTTTTAAATATACAAATGTTTATGATTTTGTCATCAGTTTATTACAAATATAATTTTATGATGTCGTGTGAGAATGCTGTCGAGATAGTGACCCTTCAGAAATAATTTAAAATCGTTGTCTATGAATGAACAAATCTTTGATCAATGTCCATCGCTACACTTTATCGACACCGATATTTCCTAAACTTCTTCTGCTTTATGTTTATACACTGATTATTATAGTCGGTAATCATTTATTTGATTCAATTCGAAAAAAAATAGATGAGCATGAAATATTACTTCACATATTTACTGGTTTTTTTAAGTTTTCAACAGTAAATTATTTAGTGTCATGTAATCAAAGAGAGTACGCGCATATTTAATAGCGTTCACACGTTTGTAGGATCCAGCACGCATATCATACGGTAGTTCAGTTTGAATAGCATTTATCTGTGAAATGTAATTGCGAGTTATGTAACCTCCTTCAAAAAAAGTACCACTTCCTGGCTTTGGATGTAACTTCGACGGATATGCGATACCAAGTTCATTTGTTTCCATTATTGTGCCAAAAGCGTTTTGTCCACGAATACATTCATTTCGATTGAACACACACAACTGTTCAATGGATGTAGTCGTAGCAAGTGTTGATTGAAGATCATCTCTGTTGAGTAAGTCACTGTCTAAGAGGTATCCAACCATAGTAAAGCTAAAAGTGTAAGTAGCTTAAATTCATTGGTTTTTAGAATAATTCGGTGTGCAACTTACTTTCCTACTCCTTGACCATGAATATCAATAAGAAGACCTTTACCATATTGTTGCTCTATTTTATTTATTGCATTTTTTAAATTTGTATGATAACTTTTATGAGCATTAATAGCCTCGGGATGATTGAGTGTTGCCTCGTTGATTTCTCGGTTGAAATCTACTTTTTTTCGATGCCATTTTCCGATGACAACGAATGGTTTCAGATTATACTTGTTGTTCAATTCTTCGGCAACATTCTGTGCAAATTCATCACTAAGATAATCCTGAACTGTTGTTGTCGCACAACGCTGACCATCTAGACAGTTATCGGCATAGTGCCATGTACACGATGATCCTGCACGACGGCAACCACCTGGTGTTCGGTCGGGTATGTCGTTTGTCATTACATTACCACCATGAGGTGCCGAAATAATAAGATTGAAATTGCCTGCTAGATGCAATTTGCAAGATGACCTGTAACCATCGACATATTGTAACGGTATTGATCGTTGAGTAGCAGTCAACGAAAAAAACGAAAACATAAAATATGTGCCAAAAAATATTACCAACATCGTTACTACTTGCAATCAATAAAATATATGAATTGAAGCGTTATCACTTTGTTTTTACATATTTCTAATATTGATCTTTGCTATTAATCTTTTGTTTCTTTGTACTGCTGATTGAAACGCCCGCAATTCTATCCATACTTACTAAGCTCTGTAAATACAATGGCAACTATTGTTACCAAATGATGAGAAAAGCATCAGTAAGCCCTCACTCTTGTTGCATGTTATGAAACTGCAAACGCAGAGAAATATGATTGACTTGAATGTGCATATAATTCTTCTATTTACTTTCATTCATGCTCACAGGAAAAATAGGTCTTCCAATTAATGAACTATCAACTAAAGGAGAGAGAAGCTGAACCATTAAAAGTAAAAATATCTTTGTGTAAGTTCTTTGGGAAAACTTCGAATCATGGAAACAAAGAGTTTGAAGTCTCAAATAAAGTTAGAAATACTGAATCAGATAATATAAATATTTTGCTGTTTAATTTTTTCAATATAAAGTACCCTTGAAGGTAAATGCCTATTTATTTTACAACAATTTTCAAAGTAATTTGTATTCGACAGGGATACTAGTGTTCTTTGCAGTTAATGAACATTACTAAGCGATCATATAGTTTTTGAGATAGTTCAGATCATCAATACCGCATCAGAGTGGGAGAATATTTCAAGAAAAAACGTGAACTATAATATTGGACACGTGCATAATAAATTATACGTGAACTTGCCGAGTAAAATTAGTAGAAGTGCTCAATAGAGTCAATAAAATCAAGTGATGAAGAAAATCATATGGTCAATTATTCATCTATCAAAATACTATAACTTTCGTATCGATAAGACAAAGCTTTCATTTATTTTGTTCATTACTTCTCTTGAAAATTTGATATTCATAAGTTTCAGTGAGCCACAAGTCTTCAGCACGGGGATGTAGCTCATATGGTAGAGCGCTCGCTTAGCATGCGAGAGGTATTGGGATCGATGCCCAACTTCTCCAGTCTCTTTTTATTCTCACCGATCATGAATCATTGAAATTATATCTATATTGCGAAAGTCAGCATTTTATTTTACGCATTCTTTCTGAGTCATTTTCATGCAGCACGTTCAGTTTATTCAATGAGAAAGAATGTGTGAAGGGGTTGTATTGATTCAACTTGCAAGAGAAAAAGTTTAAATCTCTTGCTAATAATTGTCATGTTTATCATAATGTCGTACTTATCCTTTTCTCGTTGAAGCTCTCTGGTGTATACTCGCTAGAAAACAGCTAATTAAACTAAACTATTGCAAGAACTTAGTCATAATTTTGCTCTACACCTGAATTCTCTTCTTTTTGTAGTCACTTAACAAATAAATAAATTCTATTTTATTATGCAAAAAAAAGAAAAAAAAATTTTCTACGTCTGTTATTTGTTATGAAAGATAGCAAAAGTAAATTGACAGGTGCCCGTCAGATATAAGTTGTTGGTGACCAATTGTCATCAAGTATTTCTATAATTTTGGTTATTTATCTTTACATTTTAATAAAACCGATATAGCTACTAAAACAATATTGCACAAAATATAAAAGCTTGTGATTATTTTCAGTGTGTGTGTAGGGATTGTACAAAAAGATAATTGAAGAAGTATTCAATATTAAGTGGCAAATACTCGATTGCTGTAGTTAGAGTTTATAATTTTTCTTAGTCGTTTAATAATTCAGTACAAGCAGGATAAACTCGAAAAAACTCTTAGATATCTTATAAAATATTGTTCATAACCATGAATCAATAAAATGCAATCTATACGGTGGTGACTTACAATTGGAAGAATAACGTATAAAAATATCATGCAGATCATTATCGACATTTACTATTCCAACAATGACAGGTAAGATTCGAAGATCATTGAAGAACGGTTTGATGATAGATAATCGATGTTAGTACGACCAGCTACCTGACGATCGCTGATCCCAAATATCATATTGGAATTTTACACACAAACACAGACACATACTCAGTATTGACTTGAATTAATGTCCTCTTTTGCTTCCGAACAACAAAAATATTTATGTTTTCATGTCTATTTTTCTGTTGACGTTTAACATACAAGTTTTTCTTTCTTTCAGTCACTGGGGGCAAGTAAATAATGCTTCGAATGGTTTTAACCAAAAAAAACCCACTGATTAGAAATGTATATTTATTGAGAATGTAAAAGAGTTGAAGAGCTCTCTAAGTTTTAGCAATCAATATTTATTTTTATTATTTCTTTCGAGATGTCCTACAAGACATTTTTAAGCGAATTTCCAACATTTAACGCTCAATATGCTATTGAATTACTTCATTCACTGAACTCAACATTCGATAGTCAATGTTCAACAAATGAAAATCTTCGAAATATCATGCTCGATTTGGCTAAACGAGACGATAACTGTTTTTATGAAACAGCATTACGTGCTTATAGACAACTTCAAAATGATAAATCACATGATTTAACAACTATTTTTAATAATAAAGAATTCAATGATACGTACAATTTCTGTAAGAAAGAACGAGAAAACTCCGTTAGTAAATCACAACGAGTATAAAAAGCGAATTCCTCAGTATTGTCCTTTTTTTGTTTTTTATCTAGAACACAACCAAATCGTATAAAGTAGCCAATGTTCATGTCACTCCAACTTCAACATGTATTATGCCACTGGAAGCGACCGGAGGACATCGTGCTCTTCGACATAAAGATTTCAATGGTGTTAATGACTTTTGCCTTGTTTATTTGAAACCAGATTCTGGAGCTAAATATATCAAGAAATGCGATCGTTACCAAAGAGTTTTTCAATCAGGCATTGAAATCTGCAATAATCGTTATCACGCTTTTGGTGCATCCAATTCACAATTACGTGAATCTAGTTATTGGTTTATAAGAGCAACATCTCGCGAAGAAGCTCATGAAAAACGACAAAAGTTTGGCGATTTTAGTCGCATCAATAATGTTGGCAAGTATGTTGCACGATTAGGTTTATGGTTTAGTACGACTCATTCAACTGGTGTAAATACTTTCAATTAATTTCCAATCGCTTTTATATGACAAAAAAATTATCTTTTAAGATTGAACTTACCTTCGTTCCGGATCCAAAAGAATTCAATAACAGAGTTGAACAAGGAGATCAATGTGTAACAATAATAACTGACATAGAACGAAACGGTTATCTTTTTACAGATGGAAACGGTTTAATATCCAAAGGTTTAGCAAGAATAATTGCTGAACGACTTGATTATCTTGTTAAAAGCGAACAGAATGTATGTCATGCTTTTTTTCTATTTGTCATTAATGTTCTGATTTTGGTCTTGCTATTATTAGGAACTGTATCCATCTGCCTATCAAATTCGAATGGCTGGTTGTAAAGGTCTTGTTATTATTGATCCAGATTCTAACTTAAATCAATACTATATCAAAATCCGTTCATCAATGAATAAAATTCCATGCGATGATTGGAATTTAGACATATGTGAATCAAGTCAACCAAGTAGATTTCAGTCTTTTTCTATTTGTTTATTTTTATTACTGCTTTATTTTAGTTCCACATTCACTTAACAATCAAATCATCGTATTACTTTCGGATCTTGGCATACCCGATTCCGTATTTCTTGAACTACAAGATCAATGGTTTACCAATAAAGATAAGGCACTGAGTAGTACAGAGTAAACAGATAGTTTTAATTTCCACAAAGAAAACGAAAAAATTATGCTTTGTTTTCTCTATAGAAAACTTCTTAAAAATAAGATACCGTTACCTTTGAATGAATGTCGATACATGTTTGGTTGTGCATTGGAATCGACACTCGAACAAGGGCAATGTTTTATTCGGTATCAAATTCTTAATGACGATGGAAAACCATTTGAGATTCCAAAATTTGAAACAGTTGTCGGACCAGTTATTATTACGAAAAACCCATGGTAATGATTTTCTAGAAACTAAAAAAAATAAAATAATATTTTATTCGAATTAGTTCCTATGCTGGTGACATTATAAAACTCGAGGCTGTCGATATATCTGAACTTGCTTGTCTTCAAGATGTGCTTGTCTTTTCGACGAAAGGCTATCGTAAGTAATAATCATCAATTATATCTTTACTTGAAAATCTGTTTTGATATAGGACCAGATTGTAGCAAAATTGCTGGATCCGATCTTGATGGTGATCAATATTTTGTTAGTGCCTACGGCTCTTTTCTCTCTTCTATTTATGATCGATTTCTTTTCCAGGTATATTGGGGTCGACAGCTGCAAATTTCGGAAACAATTACACCTCTTGAATATAATACACTTTCGGCGAGTGTTTGTTCGACATGTATTACATCGGATGATATTATAAATTATTGGCTATCTTTGCTCGGCGCTACAAGTTATGGTGAAATTTTTAATCTACACGCAATTGTTGTCGATAAAAACAAAGAGCACTATCCAAAGCGAACATGTCAACCATTGGCTATTGAATTGGCGGACATGTTCTCTGCTGCTAGTAAGTTTATATTTGTCTCTTACGATAAATATCATAGTTGATTTGGTGCTCGTAGTCGATTCCGGTAAAACAGGGTATCAAATAAATAAAGATCGCATAAAAGAAATTCGAAAGATCGTTGGCTCGAATTATCCAGATTTTCTAATGAAAAAACCTTCATATCAATCTCAATCAATTTTGGGTATCCTTTATCGTCGAGCAGATGATTTAAAAAAAGCGAATTCAAATTCATCTGAAGATCACGAAACGGATTCATCGAAAACTTCCTGTACTCAAGTAAATATCATTTATACAACGAGTAGTAACCATTTCTAATTCTAATAATTCAATGCAAAGTTTGAATATTCATTCTAAAATGAACGATTTTATGTTTCCTTTTAGGCAGATGAAAGAAATTTTCGATTCTATGTAAAAGTTCGTACTGCATTAAATGTTGATCCATACGTCATTCATCAAGAATTACTTACAGTTTTTGATACTAAAGTTCCATCCAAAATTTTAATTGAAGCATGGTGTGATTATTATAAGAAAAAAAATTCGACTACGAGCGGATCCATGGAATCATCAATTCCTAGATCCGTCGAAGACATTGATGAAGCTCATTCACTATGTAATACAAGTCTTCAAAGTTCAACAACTACAACTATGGGTTCCGATACGAACGAATAAATTCATTTGTAGGTTTTTGAATGTTTCGACAATAACTAGAAAAGACAATCAACATATAATTCGATGAAATATTTTCTTTTTTTTATTGATGTGAACGATTATTGTTTACAAATTATTTGTTCCTGTATATCAAATTATAGTGCAAATAAATCTTATTCAACTTAAATTGGCTGTTAGTTATTCGATAGACATTCTAAAGCATTTGCTTTGACGTTATGGCATCCGTCGGATTCTTATTTTCCGATCAGTGATGGATAACTAATATATGAAGTTTTCTATCAGTCGAGCAGTTTTACGCGCAATAAGATGAAAATAAAAAAAGGAATTTTTTAATTGAGATGTCTCGGTCTCAAGTCATCAGCATCTATTTGATAGATGCTAAGGGAAATAATAGAACGAGAAAGAAAATTTAATCGAAAATGAGCTTATTTGATTAGTATCGGATTCGACACATTGCTGATTTTCGAGATAGGATATAAAGTCAATATTAATAGATTTATCAAATATTCATGGTACGCAATATTCATTACGGTTCTGTTCTCGTCTACATAATTTCCCACATCGGTACTTTTTGTTGTGAGGTGGAGAAAAATATGAGTCAAACATACGCCGCTCTTCTCACAGCCATTATATACTTTTTATGGTCTGCTTGGATTCATGTTAGTGATTAAGGGTTCTTTCTCGTCACAATATTGTTACTGGCAAAATATGAAAGAAAAAGATCGAGCGTAACGTGTCTATCGAATGCTATCATTAAACAAATTGATGATTTATCCGTAAAATAAATAGGAAAAAATTTATACTGCTTCCACGTTATCATATTGTTTTCAAAAGTTTCTCTGCATACAATAATAAACCTTCAGGTACGTCATTCGTTGGTCTAGATATGAAAGCAACACTAACCGGATGTCTATTAGGCATGGATTGTTATTATAATGACGTCAACTGGGAAATTCAATTACATACTTTGTAATCTTCAAGTGACTTCTACATACAAGTGTGACCAACACTTCTTATGTAGAAATATTGATACGTCATGAATTTGATTGGTGGAGACAGAAACTAAAAACGCTGATCATATATCTCACTTTTTTAAATTTCTTTGGCTTCATTGAGCATTTCCAGTTGAGATTTGTAGAGAATAAAAGTTGTGAATTTCTTCAAAGCAAATGAAATGATTAAAAAAATCGACTAAACTAACCATTGGAAATGCTTCTAGTTCTATGCATCAATTGAATAGTTAGAGCAGTGCAAAAACAAAAGCTTCCTATAGTTGAACAATCGCTTTAATTATATTTGCTGGAGTTCATAGATGTGATTTATTTTTGCATAGCCCATTGCAGTAGCGAAACTAGAGAAACGATGAATGGCAGTCAGTAAGAAAACGTTTTTTAACAAAAAATTAAAAGAATTTCTTTACTTTCTGTTGAGAGTAACAAGTACACATGACAACGATCTATTTGCCTACCTGAGTAGTCTATAGTTTCTAGTGTAAATAAAGTCTTCAGATTTGACGAATAGCAGTATAAAACATACACATGGAAAAAATAATTTATAATTTTCTTCAGATCATCGCATACCTGCTAACAGAAAAATCTTGCTTGTAACTTTTTATTAATTTCTTTAGAAAAAAAACAGTAGCATTTCAATTCTTGATTATTTATTTAAAAAAATACGCAATCTAGTTTGCAAAATTTAAAAAGATCCATTAAAGACATATCTATTTTGAGAGGGAGTCATTGGAGTACCAGGTTCAAAAGTTATTGATATTCGTTCATTGATGGCAGGAAAGTTGAATTCTATATCCAATCGCTCTTTTTCTGGATTAATAAATAATTTTGTGTTGTGAGGTGTTGTATTTCGAACAACTCTACTAATATTTAGAAATTCGTCTAATTGTTTCAACAAGTCATCTCCCCGGTATTTGTACCATCCATCACATTTGTGTCTTTTGTATGGTATTGGTGAAAATCGAGGATTCGTTTTTATTTCAAACATTGTATATAATTCCGGATTCCATAGATTGGGGAATCGAAAAGAGTAAACTGTTTTGGTTTCGATTAATTTTCGATCAATTGTATAAAACCAGTTGATACAATAGGCTTCATTAGTATTGTGTAGAGCAGTATTAGATAATGATTCGTTTTCAATTGTTCTGTCGAATGGTATGTTTGTAATGTTACTTAGAAATTCATCGAACAATAAATCACAAAGCTCCTTATAATAAACATCTTCATAGTTCATTGCAGCATCACGTGCATCTTCGTAAGATCTTTGCTGATGATATTGTAATTTACTCATGTTGATAAAATAAAATTCAGGGCAATCGACAACGTGATTCGTATAAGCTGATATAGTACGAAGATCAGTTGGAAATATCTTAAAAGCTCAGAGTAAACAATGACTCATCACTGCAGTTGAAAATAAATTCCCACTATGCCCGAGAAGCATAACTTTCTCTAGGCGTTTTTTTTCTCAGAATGAGAAAAAAAACGAGCAAAACCACCAGTATGAAGAAATTTTATTGGCAGTCAATGCGATTCGATCCTTTTTTGTTTAAGCAAACAAATGTTTTACGAAGAGAATAAAGATAAAAGTAAAACATATATAAGAAACAAGAGATTTTTTATTTTATTTTCACAAACATAAGAACATGGACAAAATTTGTGGTTGAAATTGTACTTTTACTTAAATTTGAATTTAACCAATCTCATGATTGACAGATGAAGATATGTACTATTACTAGGAAACATATCTATTTTGATGCAGTACACTTATTTTTACACAATGGTAACATATACTCAGAAAAAACTTGATGGCATTATATCGGGTTTCAATAGTTAATACTGTAACATTCTCAGATATACATAAACTTATTGATCACTAATGATTGTTTTAGTTCGATCAAATCAAAATTGTACAAAGTGAAACTGTTTTTTTTTTCAATAGTATTGCGGCAGCAGCAGCTATTTTAGTTCGTGATAGAATGAGCGTGAGTGCGACAAGTGTGGATTTTAAAGCGTGAGCAACTCGCTCTATACTTATAACACGACCACTGATAGTATTATGTAGATGAAGGACATTTTTATTAAAATTTTCCCCAACGAATGCACCAATTAATGGCAAACTAAATTCATGTATTAAGATATTGATCATGGATTTTATATTTTCTTATTATACTATACTTTAGGAGCAAATCTATGCTGATAGTATTCGAATTGGTTATTTTAGATTTGAGGTGAAACGATAGAACCTTTTCGAGCGTGTCAAATGAACTCAATGATTTTAACGATATTGATATTGTGTGAAAAGGTAAGTAAACATAGTTTCATCGAATTATATGATTCTTGAATATGTCCGATTTCATAGAAAGAAAGTTATATGGCCTTCAAACACGAGCAACTTCATCAATAAAACAAAAACTCGACCTGATATTGTTACACGATGAAATGCGAGATGGAAAAGTCTACCAAGTATAATATTTCTGATTTGAATTCATGCACGAATGATTTTGCCGCAGTACACGAAGAACTATATACTCCTTTGATAAAATATAGAATAGGAGTTATTCTTTCTCCTGACTACATTGTAATACGTTGCTGTTTATAGAAATTGTTATTTTTATATCAGTTTCTTTTTCAATTCATTTTCAATGAGTCTAATTTGCTTTAAATCAACATTTGTTTTCATAAATTCTGAAAAATAATGCACTTTTGCAATTATTCCTACAGAATTTCAATTTATATGATGATAGCGATGAAACTATTTGAGTAAACGAAGCTCAATGATTATTGCTTTCAGTTGAAATTTATGTTTATTTGTTTAACAATATATAAAAACATCTGAATCAACATAAAAATGCAATGAACAGTATATTTAGGAGTCATAGTTATGTCCAAGGGAAAGAATCGAAGAAAAAGTAGCAAAGATTTTAAAATCTAAACATACTTAAGATTTCAATAAAAAAATCAAGGAGCCCGAACGTCGTTAAGAAATAGTTTTTTCAAGATAGTTTAACCTATCTGCAGAATAAAATAAAGAACTATCAAATTCTTCAACGCAGTCTATTCACGACTGTACTATTCTAAAAATCAAAATATGTTGAAAATATCAGTTTTCGTATTTAATATTGTATCTAATCTGCTGTTTTCATAGTTTAACTCATCTTCATTTTTATGAATGAAAAGTGACTTAAACTCTTGCAAATGAATAATATAAATTTATGATAATACAAGAAAACGATATTGATAAACATTCAATAGAAAAAAGAATTGCTGATAATTATCAACAACAGATTTTTAAACAAAAGCAATTATTAAAAGAAACCACGATTGTAAAACACAATGGATCACATAGGAGAATAACTTAACTTTAAATATCAAAATAAAGAATTTTCTTTGAACAAAATAATATTTTCACCTATTTGACAATTATTTCTACTACTAGGACCAGAACGAATTTGAAAACACTTTAAAATATTCTTAGAGAAAATTATATGCACACTCTGTGATTTGTTTTATTGTTATCGATCTTCGACCTCGATCTTGCATTGATTAACTATTTTTATTATCACTGCGGGCAAAACATTGAGCAAGACATTTTAAATTGATTTACCTTTTCCAACTGTATTTCGTCTTACTCTATACTAAGACAGTATCAACGAATTCAGATGCTCAGCTTAACTTAATTGTTATTCAATTCTGATTCGTATATACAATGAATGGCCGAGTTGGAACATAAGACTAATTATCTTATTTTACAACAACCATGTTAAATTTCACGTGAACATCGTTAATGTAATATTTATTTTTCACCAAGGGAAATAATCGAATTTACAGAATGTCTTGAACAAAGCCAGTAGTATCAAATTATTTAATATTCAAAAAGTAAATTGTTTTCTTTTAAAGATAATGTCCGATCGTAATTTGTAAGTATAACAAAAAGGATCATACTTCATAAAATTTAATTTAATTACAATGTGCATACATCTGATGAGTTATTATTTTAGAAGCAGCTTAAAACGTCACATTATCATCCAATCTGTAAGTTTCGTGGAGACGAATTCAATTCGATTCAATTCAATGATATAGGACACGACTAGCACCGACAAAAATGCCTGTACTTTGTTTACTGAAAGAATTGGGTAACTAAGAAAAACAGAAAATGAATATAATTTCAACTGAGTTGTATAAGTCGAAGGTATCTTATGCGACTACCAGAAAAGCAACGACTGTTATGGGAAAATATGATATTTTAATAGGATGAAATAGTTGCTCGTTAAAATTTTAAAAAATACATTTTGTTCGATTATCATTTTTATAACAATTATTAGATCAACTTGAATAAGCGAACCTGTTTAAGTTTGTCGAACTCAATTCTCAGCATATTTTGTGAATCATATTTATCAACAAATAATTGTTGTAATGATACGTCACTTAAGAGTTCACAAGTGCAAGAAATTTAGGAAACGATGAATATTCTTGCTGGTGAAATTCAATCATTAAATAGAGAACATTCTTCATTGCTTTGTTCGAAATCGAAGTATTGGTAAGTAATCATTAATGTTTTCAATGTCAGTGGTATTGAGCTGAAAATTATAAGAGAACAATTTTTTCCTTGTTGACAAGATTCTTCTCGTTTGTGTTCAAAGTAACAACTTGCTAATTTGCTGAGCATCACCATTTTGTGCCATATTTATTTTAGAATTTCTAGCATTGGAAATAGGTAGAAATGGAAAATTCAAAATTACATCAAAACTACTTAATGGTGTTTAATCGTAGGAGAGACACACATCAGACACAATATCTTCATCATGTCACTCGATACTTTTTCTATGATGTATGAATTAAACTGTATTTGTGTAACATAATTTTGAGCATTAAACTGTAATTTTAATTTACTATAGAAGGATCACAGACACGAGCGTGTATCATGAGAAGAGCTGGAAAGAACAGTAAAGATAAACATTAATTTATTAGTCTCTATTTTATTCCTCATCAGCTGGCTTCAAAATCCAAGCTCGTCTTTGCTCAAATGAGGATGGAAATGCTCGACGTACACACATGAGATCGTTCTTTTTTGTTTCAATCCGTAAAACAAATGATACAATCTTACGTTAGCCCTTCCACTACCGCAAGTCTCAATCCTCGATTGTCAATGCTTATCCAACAAATATTGCTTAAACAAGAAGCAGAACAAAAAGCACAGCAAATTCAACTAATTATCATTATATGTTTTAATTATGTCTGTGCAGTCTTTGCATCAGAATTGATGTGATTAAATGAGTCTTTGCTATCGAGGAAGCAGTTCACTATTGAAAACATAGAATACTTTTTTTTCTAACTGAATTAAGCACTGATTTTAAAGAATTATTACATGTCGTCACTCAAGTATGTTCCAAGCATAAAGTCTCATAAATGACACCTTGTAGAAAAGTCCGTAAGAGCTACCACGTTTCATTTTAGAGTTCAAGCTTTCTTAATGATGTATACAATATTACTTGTAACATAATGATTGCTTATAAAACTTCAAACTCGAGTTGTTTTACTCAATTTTCAACACATTTGCTAATGATATATTTAGAAGCAGTATATTATGTTGGATCATCTCTTTCGATTTGTGATCAATGATCATAAAATCTACGTACACTTAACATATTATACACAGTAGGTTTTTAAGCGAAAATCTAGTCAGGTATGTCTTATAGAAGCAAGATTTATCGAATATCAAAACTATCTTAAATATTTATCTTCTCAAGAAAAGTTGCATTTACTCAGCTAATCTTCAACTGCTGCCAACCAACTAAATCGAGAATAGAAGCTCAATTCAGACTAGAACCCAAGCTATACATGCTAATCAAAAGCTTTCTCGCACTTGCATTGCTTTTGAAAACAATAATCTTGATCTGCATTTTGTCTCATTGTAATTAGCATTTGTATGTTAAGCAAAACAATTTTCTTGTAATTTTTACTAGAAATTCATAAAGTTCTCCTGCTTATATTCTATTCTTTCACTCCTTGATCATACAAACGGTTCTCATCTAACCTAGTTCTATTCCTCACCTGCGTTACGGCGGTTACGATGATATGATCGTTGTACTTCACCATTTTCAATGCTTGTGTTGCGGAACCGGTTGTTTGCATGCCGGTCACGAATAAAGACATCTTAACAGAATTAAACGGATTTCAAGTATCACAGCGATATTTTTATTCAATGATTATAAAAATTCAAAGGGATCAAAATTGATTTTTAAACAAAATTTGATGTTTTCTTAGCAATCTTGACTTCTTTTACGTAAAAAATCAAATTTTCTTTGTATTAACGTTGTACTATTTCATTCATCTATACCTTTTGAAATGACTGATATAAACGCTTATTTTTTTTTCATCACATCTAACTCGAGAATACAGGCCAGTTGAAATTCACCGTCTGTACAATCATACGGAGTTCAAATTTATCCCTTAAGAATTGTAATACTTATACTTTTGGTTTAAAGAAAAATACGATAATCATCTGATGATTTCTCAATATAATTCTGTTTAGTATTAATCTTTATAATATTTCTTTATTTTGATGTTTTCATTTTCATCTATTCTCTGGCTTTCATCTAAATGCTTAATTTTTAAATGTTTATTGCGTCATTCGGAGAAAATCGTTTTCATAGTTCGAATTTATATATTTCGTCTATGACTAGCCCTAGAGTTATACAAATTTGAGATAGTATTCAACCTCTTACAAAAAGCTACGTGCTAAATGTTGGACATTTTTTGATTTTCAATAGTGGAATAAAAACCATTTTTTCAATGAGATATAAAAATGTTTGTCTCCTTCTGTAATTATAAATACTGTAATTTACCATAGGCATCGATTTTTCGACTATTCACTCGGCTTAAGAATGATAATACCAGCAATAGTAAAGCAGGATAAAACATGTTTCGTCGGTGTGTCAGTATTTATCAGAAATAGTTGTATTAAATAATTGATGAAAGTTTCTGCATAGCACGCTAGGCTTTATACATATCATCTCCATACACAGTTGAAGTATACCCTTTACGTCAACAACGTTTTTTTATTTTCTGTCATCGAAAACAAAATAGGTCAAAACACAAATTATATGAAACGAACTAATTAGTGTAGACTTCCCAACGGGGATATCATGGTTACACTGTTATTGGGAATTTCATAATATTTTCCCTATTGGCTGGTTATATGTGTCATTTGGCTTATATACAATGTCAACGCCTTTTAGATCAGATAGCAGAAATCGTTATTAGCATTACCAGTGTGGAAAAAGCTTTCATTCTATTTCTTTCATACAATATATACATAGTATAAATGCTACATACAATAGTTATTTGAACATCTGTAATTTTTGTTTTAAGGGACTTTCATCCGATCCCGTTATTCTATGGTGGATTTTCCTTACAATTCTTTGGGTAAAAATATTGATACTGTTTTATTTGTGAGCTTCTGGTCGCAACATAAGTATTTTGCTTCTTGCGGCAAGCATTACTCTCAGATGACTGTAGGAGACGGATATCAAAAAATTAGAAGAATGATATGCAAATTTCATTTGCTGGTATTATATTTCTTATTCTTTTACTTAAGTAATCCTTGTTCAACTCTCGTACTCTGAAATTTACTGAAACCAAAGTAATCTAAAATATTATTTTTCAATGTTAAATAAAATATCCATTTAGCGAGCGAAGAGCTTCATTCCCAAAATATTATTGTATATAGAATCAAATAATGTAAGTTGTTCTCTTCTAAACATGTATCAATTGTTATAGTCGCTATGGAAACAATATGTGGAAGTTTATGATTATGCAGCCTATTTCATTAATTTTCATGTATTATTTGAAACATAATGTGTTAAAAACGATTATAATGTAATTAAAGGATTATCGATTACGTAGGAAGAAGTATATAAACTTAAAGGAAATAATAATTCGCCATTATGTCTTTTTTCAATTTTAATTTTCAAGGATCATAGTTTCTCCAGCTACAGTCATCTTATAAAAATACTCGAATAAATGTAATATATCATCGTACCAATACATGGCAGAACCACGAAAGTCAGCTCAATGCAATTGAATCCATGAAGCTAGTTGAATTGGATTGAATTAAATTGACTTCTATTTTGCGCTGAGTTACCCAGATCTGATATATGAGAGAAAAAGCCACCGATAGGGTTGCCACCTGACGAAGTCCGAAAAGCGGAAAATAGCGGAAACTTACTTTTTATAGATTTTTAGCATTTTTGAGAATATGAGGCAGTTTTTCATATCTATATTTATGGTATTTCGTTTTATTTCAGCAAAATTTCAAAAACATGTAAAAGACAAAATGAAAAAAATATAAATTTTACTGGACCCGCTGTTTTTTGAATGCACATTTGTTGTTAGACCTGATCGCTCCCAGCAACTCTTTATGAGATAGCAAATATTGATGCATATCAGTACATGACAACGAGGAATTTCGACGAATTTGTAACTCAGCAGATACTAGATCGACTGATATTCGATTACGAGAATCACTAAGTAAATGCTTCATGTCAGAAAAAATACTTTCGACATAAACATTACTAGCTGGAATCGAGTACAAAAAACAAATCAATTTCTTTATATTTGGTGTCGGTGTAGCATTAGCAGCAAGTAGCATTGCCCACAGTCGATCGGACCGAATCATTTTTATTTGTTCTTCCTCATCTTCTTCGTTAGCTTCACTTTGATGAATTGACGTTGTTGATGAGTTATGAATTTCTTCTTGTCCTTCATTGGAAAGAAAAAATTGAATCTGATCTAATAATGGTACTTCTTTTTTCTGAATCATTTCGAAAGTCAATCTTAATTCAGTAAACTCGTTGAACAAATCATCTTCGTTCAAACCTTTGATTTTCGTAATTTCGATACATTTTTTAACCTGATTCCAAGTAAGATTTTCAATGCCATAACCGAAATGTCCAATAGCTTCTAGAAAAGCAACGTTTTGTGAGAAATATTTGTCGGTATACTCTAAAAATGTCAAGATGAATCGTTTGAAAGAAGCTTGTAATTCGACACTAGTATTATATGACGTTCGATTTAATAGATTTCGACATTGAATTGTTTCTAATTCTTTAGGAGTTTCTTTGTTTGATTGATCTGCGAAAATACTCCTCTACTGGTCTGTAGACAAGTAATAAACGATCAATCGATGAATACAACGATAACCATCGAATTTTGATGTACTTAATCAAGATCTGAAAAACATTATAAGAAAATACTGTTCTGTTAGTCTTTCCTAGTTTATACTCCGTAGTCAAGAATACCTTACCTGAAAATCGTTTTCGTATAATTCATAGTAACTTTTGAATTCTTGAACTCTCTTAGCTGAACGAGAAAAATGAGTGTAGACCATCATAAGAATTTTTTCAACGTCAATGGTCAATTGCTGATGGCCCCACTTCACCCCGTTATGCAAAATATGACAACAACAAGTTCCTTAATGAATCAATTATAAATTGACGATATACTAGCACCCTTTGGCTCAGTTTATCTTTAACTAGATTTTCAACTTGATTATGAAATAATGTATAGACACTATGAGTATTGCCCATGTTAACATTTGTATTATCAGCTCCAATCGATGTAAGACCTTCCAAGGACAAACCAGATTTTCAAAGGTATTCGTGACTGATTCATCAGCATCTATTGATCAAATCAATTAAATCTGTTAAGTATAGAAAACTTAAAGATTAACGTTTGTGAAAAAGCCTGAACTGAAGCATAGAAACCTTTTTTCACCTCAAACTTTGAAAAATATTGCACACAAACTGGAAAAAGCTTCGTATTTCCATTGTTCGATGCATCGAACATGATCGAAAAAAAACGTGCTTCTTTCACTTCAACTAAAATTTGTTGAGTGAAATGGAGCTAAAACATTAAGTGCAATGGATGAGCATTTTGTTCGTCCACATGATATCGATTTTCGAATTGCAAAACAAGGTGAAAAAATTGTTTTGATGACATTTGTGGTACACTGTGGAGATGAATAAGAATGACCATGTTTCACTCCATGGTATACAAAAATACCTTCTGCAGCTGCTACTTCTTCACTCTCTTTATTTGGCTTCATTGTTGACGTTATTAATTGTCGATTTATACTAAATGATTTCATGTTATGGAGGTGTCTTTTCAACTTTATATACCGATCAATATCATTCTTTCCACCATAATGGATTGAAAAATGTTCATTGCAGGCAATGCAAAGAGCTTTAGTTGAATCCGGTTTGTACTCTCGTAAAAATGATCCGAGTTGAAAATCAAGTAGTCACTGTAGATTGAACATGCCCTTTTTTCTTCTTGTCACAAGTATTTGAAGCGGCTTTGACATTTTTATTTTCATTCGATTTTAAAACTGATGTTGTTGGTATCAATTCTTCATGATTATTATCTCACTATCCATAACTTACAGAAACTTTGTTTAAACTATTGGGTTTGGGGTTCTTTTATGTAGATATAGTATGTACAATTAGTTGAAAATAAATAATTCACTATCATTTGAGATCAGACTGGTGTTTTTACTTTACGAATAGGAAATTAGAGCACAGCCTCTCTACATAGAAAATTTTTTAGTGTTCTTCTTCCATTGATTTTATGAATCAGATAATAATAGTGATGACTCACTGCATGTGCAAGCAATAAGAATTGCTTCAACAATTGCAGGCTTTATTCTGCATGCATTTTCAACTTGTAACATGTTTTATACGAAAAAGTGGAAAAAAGCGGAAGAGGTGGCAACCTTGAGTTTGACATATATGCCCCCTCGAGACATTGACATTTCTGGATCCGCCACTGTAGCTGTGTCAAGGTTTTTGAAATATATTTCGTTGTTTTTTTATTTATGACTAAATAACGTTGATAGAAATCTTTTTAATCAGCATCAATTGGCAAAGAGTGTTTTTAATGATTAGTGTACCCCAACAGAGCAAAGTGTACGTACACTCTGGTTTTTGAGAATACACTTTGTTTTCCTATGAAGTACACTCTGAAAAACATTTTTTGGCTTAGCCGGGTGTATGCGTACACTGTGCTTCGAAATCCTATTAAAAATACTGTTGGCAAATATGCATAAGAATGTACTGATAGTAATTCTATTGACAAAATTCTGATTATCCCTACTGTTATGACTATTTCGAAATAAAAAAGATTAGTTCTAATATTGTTACCATTAAATTCATTGGCGGGCCACCAGACGGCAATTGGTGGCAATTGCCATACCACAAAAAATATGAAAATTAAAAACTTGCCTAAGAAATAGTATTGGATAAGAAAGTTTGTCAGACATTGCCTTTTTCAATACTAAGAAAGATTCGACATTTATATATTCCACTGGTCAAAAATAGTTTTACAAAGTACTTTTAATATATGATCACTATAAATGAACATTTTGAGACAAGTAATTA